TTAAATAATAATAATATATATATATATATATATATATATATAATTTATTTGTTGGTGTTGGTGAACTTAGTGACATGGTTTAGAGATCAAAATCTTGGATCTTGTCAGATTAAATAGATTAAGATGTGATGAAACAAAGTTAGGAGCAATGTGTGCATCTCCAACAGATGTATTTGATTTGCTCAAAGAAGCCATGAGTTGCGGCTATTAACAATGCTTCTTTGACTCCTCCATCTGAAATCTTCAGAGAGTCCATGGACAAGTGGAACACGATCAGTCTGGGTGGATTCTGTGACCAAACTTTGAATTCTTCTTCCTCTTTCTTTCTGCTCTTGACTCTTCAGCGTGTGCATGATCGAGCCACCCACCATTCACGGCGCTTCAGCTTGTTCCTGATTGCATCTCATTCCATGTCTTCAGCTGTAGAGCATTCCAAGCAATTGCAGAAGCATTCTGTCAAACACGTTTGGCAGTATTCCGGTGGCTACTTTCTTCATCATCTGCTCCTCACTGAAGCACTACCGGTCCTGATTTCTGGAACGCAGATGTCCTCCGAGCCACACACTCTGTCTGACCCACCGTCGTTTTGCACACGTCTCAAGGATTGTTGATTGACGTGAAGGAAACAGTGTCTGGTCGAATAAACTATTGGTATAATCATTTAAAGCTTCAACCTACATAATTTCAATTATTATTTTGTTTCTTATTGTTGTAGTAGGTATCATTTTCATCATCAATTCTTTTGGCACTTTGTCTGATGTAGCATTGCATGGTCTTCTTCTTGTGACCAAACTGAGTCAGCTCATCTTCTACATCTGCTGCCAGATTTTGCTACTTCAGCATTTACTCAACATGGTTACTACTGGTTGTCACGGTGAGTGATTAGGAAGGATTTCAATCACTACAAGAACAGTGGGAGATTGATGATCTAAGGATTTCGGCTCAGTGATCCGACCTTCTTTATCAGTTCGTTCCCCACAGTGAAGAAGCTTTTTCTTTTGTCTCTATCCGCATGTCTGTTCACTTACTTCAGCATAAATAGCCATTAACCTCTTGATGGAATTAAAGAATAACAACAGTCTGCTATTGAATGAACATCTGCTAATTATCAGCTTGTGATGACTGTTTTGATCAGACTAATGCTAAGAATATAGTCCACAATGTCCCATCAAAACAAGTGTGAACGAATGTAAAGCTCCCAGTTGACAGAAATGAGCTGTGTTAATCCAAGTTAAACCATGTACTGATAAGAGTAGTTGAACAGGAGATTCTGCTGTAACAAGTGATTCATCACCACCAAACATCAAACATATGCTTGCTTTTGGTCAAACAATTTGCATTCTTTTCTCCATCCTTTTCCTTATGGCAATGGGAAAAGCATGCAAGGAAATATACCCATGCATTCAATCAGGTAAACAGTATAGAGAGAGAGAGAGAGAGAGAGAGAGAGAGAGAGAGAGAGAGAGAGAGAGAGAGAGATGTGCTTCTTGGTAGGTTTGAATGTTGGATTCAGACCTGAGATCAGACATGAACAAACAAGGTGTAGATCAAAGACTGATGATTCTTGGGACTGAGACTTCTATCAATCTCACACCAAGAAAAGCTCTTTCCGTTTACTCTTCACCACTTTTCTTGGTTTCTTCATTAATTACATGCATCTTCATGGAGGTGGGACACCTTCACCGCTCCTATTTAAACCATGCATTACCACCATGAACCTCCGCACCTTCACCTTCATCCATCAGCTTGCATGGCTCTTCTCATCCCACTCCTTGTCTTCCTCGTCCTCCACTCTGCCAATGCGCAGCCCTCCCCGGGCTATCCCCTCAGTTCCAAGATCAGGTCATCCAGGTTCTACCAGGGATACAGGAACCTCTGGGGTCCTCAGCACCAATCAGTCTCCCGGGATCAATCCTCTGTCACAGTCTGGCTTGACAGGAGCTCAGGTCTGCCATTCTTGCTACTCCCCGCAGTTGACCTTTCTCTGTTTCTATGTCGCCGAATTATGATGCTAGTAATGGTGTAGGGAGTGGATTCAAGTCGATTCGGCCGTACCGGAATGGCTACTTCGGTACTTCCATCAAGCTCCAGAGTGACTACACCGCCGGCGTGAATACAGCCTTCTATGTGCGTCGGTGATCCCTCACTGGTTTTGTTGGAGTTGATGTTGATGGGTACTCATGCATGCGTCGGTCGTCGTGCTTGCAGCTCTCCAACAACGAAGCTCACCCGGGGTTCCACGACGAGGTGGACATCGAGTTCCTGGGCACGACGCCCGGGAAGCCGTACACGCTGCAGACCAACGTGTACGTCAGGGGAAGCGGCGACGGCCGGGTCATCGGCAGGGAGATGAGGTTCCACCTCTGGTTCGACCCCACTGCCGCCTTCCACCACTACGCCATCCTCTGGAACCCCGACGAGATCATGTGAGTGGGTCTACTCTGAGAGGACGTGCACGTGCTCTGCTCTTCCAGCTCAGACGCTGAACTCGGTTCATCCATCCATGCGCAGATTCTTCGTGGACGATGTGCCGATAAGGAGGTACGCGAGGAAGATCGAGGCGACGTTCCCGGATCGGCCGATGTGGGTGTACGGCTCCATTTGGGACGCATCATCCTGGGCGACAGAGAACGGCAAGTACAAGGCGGATTACAGGTTCCAACCCTTCGTTGCGAGGTTCACCGACTTCAAGATAACAGGGTGCTCGGCCAATGCGCCGTCGTCCTGCCGCCCGGTGCCGGCGTCGCCGTCAGGCTACGGGCTCAGCGCCCGGCAGTACGCGGCGATGCAGTGGGCGCAGAGGAACCACATGGTCTACGACTACTGCCATGACTACAGCAGGGATCATTCCCTCACTCCGGAGTGCTGAGGGGTATCGATTACTTGTTCCAGTTTGCCTTGGTGTCTCGATGGTTTCTTCCTCGAAGGAGGAAGAGCTGCCCTGCTACTTGCATCTGTATGTAAGTGGTTGAGGCGTGTGTGGTCTTTTTGGCTTGTTTACATGATTAAGGGTGTATGCGCGCGCGCGCGCATGCGCTGGGGTATTTTGTTGGTCTTTGGGTAACTGTAATACTACTGCTTTTGGATTGAAGAGGTCTGCAAATGGCAATACGAAGGTGGCCAAGCACAATTGTACCTTCATTCCTCTTTTGTTTCTCCCTGGTTCTTCCTAGTTCATATCGTAGACACTTGTGTTCTCTGAGACGTGTTCTTCATATCCTGTGGTCAGAGAGAGAGAGAGAGAGAGAGAGAGAGAGAGAGACAACACTGTCCAAGTCGCCTGTTGCTGTGGAAGAGGCACGGTGGTTGTTCTCTTCAGTCACTGAATATAAGAAGACACTGCACCAACTGATATAAAAAGAAGAATCAGTAACATTCACATAGTTAAGTAGTAATTTAATGATGTTTCTGATCAGTAATTTAACGAAGATTTACCTCAATTCATGAGAGTTCCTAGACAATTAAGTCTTGAAGGAAAAGCCAGGACAAAGGACTAAATCAGAGATAGACGTTTGATCCTATGCTTTTGTACAGACAAAAGGTCCAAGTAAAACCAAAACGATGGTACTAAAAATGAACCAGTACAACACCTATAGAGACACATTGACAATAATATTTAGGAGAAGAAAAAAAAGGAACTGTTTAAACACAGACCTCTCTTAAAATTGGGAAGCCTTCTAAAATTTGGGGATGCTAAAAGTATAAATCATAGCAAAAGTCTATTTATCTAACCCCTTGCTTCCCCACTGAAGCACTGAGATAAACCAGGCCTAGACTTCTTGTTATGTCTGCAGCTAATTTTGTTTTTATGTGCTGAAGCATCGAGGATGACCTGACCTCGGAAATCAAAGTCGCCGATCTTGTACCTCAAACTCTGATGACAGCCTAGTGGCCTCCAAATCACTGGGTAAAGTTAGTGTCACGTGATCAGCTATCATAGACTCCTTCCATCCTGCATGATTTACTTGTTATCAGGTCTTAGGGATTACATATATGTATGTATATATGTGTATGTATCAATTCTTAAAGAACTTACAAGAATGGGCCAGTTCAACTGACCAAAGTCAAAACCTCATTCCTGTATATGTCCAATGATTTTTACCAATTTGAAACTTCCTAGGAACAGGCTAAAATCAGGCTTATAAAATGCAAACTTTGTGTTTTCTATGAATATTTGGTATAATGCAAGTTAGGCAAAGCTTTTTTTAAGATAACCCAAAGGGTTTCAGGTTTATGAGTCCTTAACATGGTGGAAAAACTGCAAACTGGGATGTGAGGGATCAAATATTAATTAAATTGATATACAGAAGCAAAGGACTTACTCTCTGCTAGGAAGGCCCTTGCGATCTGGCTTGAAAACATTCTCGGCAAGGACAATCCTGCATCACCCAGGTCAGTGAAAGAATTCCAGCATTTGTCAGTGCCACTGTCAACCATTGCAACAGAGGACAAATAAATATCTTCAACAGAAATTTGATTGAAAGCATCAGAATGAAATTGATTGCCTTCAGTTGCAATCTTTTCCGTGGTAGAATCTGCAATGTCATGGCACACTGGTCTGTGCAGTTCAATTGTCGTCCGAATGGCACTACTGGGATGTAAATCATTCTTCGCTAGCTTTTTGAAATGTTTCTGTACCAAAGCTGAAGCTTCCCTGCTATCATCATAACCCTTTCTAAGTGTGACACTGATAGAGCCTATCAGCACTTCATGTTCGTTGTATGAATATCGAGCTTTTGGATCAGTGTTTCTTTCATTTGCATCTTCTCTATCTGGCACTGTTTTACTTGTCAAAATCATAAGGTCATTAGTTGATGTTACTGAAGATTTTGCAGATGGAACTTCTCCCAGAACATGACCATTTGGAGAAATTTGTGCTGACATGGGGACTTGCCCACTAGTGGTAGTTATTTGACATTCACTAGCCTTGGCTTTTATTTTCTGGTCTACAGTCTGATCAGCATTGTCAGGGTGAGAATGCTGTCTCCGGTTCCAATCCAATTGTGGTTCAACCAGTCTGGTTGCCTCTCCACATTGTGTCTCCTGACAAACTGGTTCTTTAGAAGTGTTCTGGCAAAACTCACATGCAAGCATTTCATTTAGTGTTTCTATGGAACTACATGTTGCCTCAACAGTATCAAACAAACATTTCTCGTTTTTTGCATTGGCAACACCAGTCGATATATTCACCCTTTTTTCTTTTTTCCTCAATTTCTTCAACCTTTTTCTTTCCTGGAGCTCAGCTTGCCTAAACGTTACTCCATCAGAGTTAGTTGAGCATTAATTATAATGAATATGCTAGCAAATAAAACTGGTGTTTTCACATTTGTAAAAGATAACAAAAGGATATTTTTATCAGCATGGTATACAAAACCAACAATACTCTATATCTGTCAGAGGTTACCCAAAAATAATGGACTTGCATAATCCAACCAAGCTGACCAAGTAAAAGTTGTTAAACATGAACTTGTATACTAAATTACTGAGAAATCAGTCCCATTTCACAATCTATGAGTTACATTTTTTCACTGAGGATCCACTCCTTACTGAAACATAATTTTACAACTATATCAGTAAGATGATTGGATCCAGACAAAGATGTGTGGTTCCTATGTGACCATTTACAACCATGTCTAATGAAGGTTCATTGGCTCTTTGTTAAGTTCAAAATATGCAGCAGCATTTATCATACTTGTACTCAATATTTATTATTCTGTTGTCATAAAGTTCAAACTTAATCATAATTTCAGATAAAAATTTGTCTATTCTGGGGATTGAATAATTCAGATCCTTAACTAAGAAATGAAACAATCCTTAAGTTGAGCTTTTAAAAGTAAATGGTTTATATCCTCTTATAAGATAATACCACGTTGAACATGTAGAAATCATGATAGCTAAAGAGAATAAAATTCAATTGTAGAGATAAGTTGGATACATGGGGAGATACGGTTCCTTTACTAACATAAGCACATAATCTGAAGATACCTTTTCTTAGCAACTTCTTCTTCCTCCATAAGCACACGTTGGCATTTTAAAGCTTCAATATCTTTATCAGCATACCACGATTTCACCTAGCAACCAATTCTTCATAAGGTAAGAAGCAAGCTTTTAAAGAAAATGTCAACACTTAACAATGAGAGAAAAACTAGGTATATACCAATTTCTGTTCAAGCATAAAACTAGCAAAAGCAACTGAGTTTTTTGTCTCGAGAGCAATCTTCCCAGCATCTCCACTGAAGATGTACTTTTGCATTGACAAGGTACTGCCAGCACATAAAAATGTCTCCTCGCTTGCATCATCAAGCACTCCAAACAATTCTTGAGATGATATAGGAAACCTAGAAGGACTTCCTTCTATAACATTCTACAAAATGCAAACGTGAACCTCAAGAATGTGGTACATGCAACAGTGACTGATACATTTCAAACTGATGTACTATCCAATTTCTCTTACCAAAAGAGTTGTGCCAGCCTTCACATATATATGTGGCAGTAAAGGCAGCCCAAGATTTTGAACAGAAGTTTTCAACGCCCTTATAATTGAAGAACCAGTAACATCCTGTAACGGGATAATTATTAGAACTTTCTCTAAATAACAATGCAATATTATTTTCCCTCACATTCCTTTTTTTAAATAACTTGGTTTATTGGTAAACTAAAATTAGATAAAAGGCAATTAGCAATTTGTGACTTTGTCATAACAATGGAGTATCAACTCCACTGTCAGAGTTTGTTAAATAAGCCTAGTGAAGACCGATGGTTAAAAAATCGATGACCACCTTAAATAGCCCTTTCTCATTATCAAGAAACAGCATTCTCCAAGTAATCATCATGATATTTCACCACCAGGGGTGAAAAAAAAAAACAATGATCTTTTTAAGATCAATGATACAGTATACTCATAGGATTGTTGTTCTTGTTCCTTATTATTTCTGATTACAGAAATACATAAGTAAACCATAATAGGTTCTTGATTACTGAAGAGGCATATCAGAGAACAAAGAAAAGTTTGCACACCAATATTTCACATAAATACATACAAACTTCCATACTTTGAATGGCTCTATCAGTTAGACCAAAAATAAGAACTTTGAATTGTGGTCACTAAGAAACTGGATAATGGAGTAATGAGTAAAATAACTATGCTACTTAAACCATTACCTCTATATCCACATTTTTGAATGATGAAATTTCTTTTGCCTCCTCCAGAGGTAGCTACAAACGCACAAAGGTTTTCGTCATTAAAGAGAACATAGTTTTCTACAGGAAAAAAATGCAAACTTCAAATGGACCATCAATTATTCAGTTACAATTTCAGGCTTGACAAATACCAATCAAGATAAACACACAGAATACATTATTGATTTCTGTTAGAGGGGAAGTACACCTAAGAAGTGTTATATGTACTTAAAGAAACTTACCTTATCCCAAAATACTCCCAAAAGCATCCTATTCTTCGTCGAGTCCTAAGTTTTCAAGAAAGGATCAGTAAACCATACACAAATTTGAAGATAATAGTAGCTGTTCAAGAACTCTTAGTAAGATTAAATATTAAACTAGAATACATACTTTTTCACTAAATCATGAAACTATGAAAAAATACAAAGAAGATTGCTGGCTTTTACTTAACATGCTCAGGAATATGAGACCAGTAATCACTAGCGCTTGATACATTAACTATCAAGCAATAATAAGCACTCCCCAGAACAGAATATTTTGATTCTGTGAAAAAAATGGGCAACAAAGTAGAAAAATCCAATTTCCCGCCTAAGGTTATAACAGTAAAGCTCTGAAAGAAAATAAGACACCAATGGAAACAAATATATTAAAACAGAAGAGCACAGAAAGAACCTTATCAATGTTCAAAGATCTGCGATGCACTCGAATATGCCGTCTATAGTTAATTGTGGAGCAAAACTCACGTGAACATTTCTCACATTTTAGCATCTGAACCGTACATGGGAATAAAGACCATCCTGGAAGATCTGCTAAAGGAGAACAAATATTCAATGAATCATATATTCAACCCTTCAGCAAGAAACAAAACAAATCAAATACAATATACATACATTTTTCGGTCTCACCACTAACTTTTCCAGCTGCCTGAGCAAGGGCAACAACAGCTTCAGGAATTTTAAGAGCTTGTATTTGCTGAGATGTACTCATTATCAAGGTTTGTGGGGCTTTATTATTCTCCAAAAACTGAACAGGTTCTGTAATCATATTCATGAAAAATAGAACTGAAGTCACACTTCTACAGTGAATAAGCCTTCTTCAATTTATTTTTTGTCATTTTCAACTTCAGGAACTTTAGAAAGATGTAAGTTTTCCAGCAAATCTAAAGCATGCGACAGCTGCATACACTGAATTGGACAGGACTTTCATTGGGAATTAAAACTGTAAAAAATATACCCCTTCCCGGCTTAGTGCATTACATTGTTGAGGGATCCATATGGCTTCATGACATTCTGCTTTGGCTCCACGTATTGAGGTGCTTGTTGCAATATTCGGATTTTGCTACTCCTTGACTAACAGGTATATTTTCTGTTTTAAGAGACAAAAAAGAAGAGAACATAAGCAACAACACAAGAATATCGAAAGGCCATTCAAAGTATTCAAGATGAACACTGGCACAAGTAAAAGATATGTAGGGCAGAGCAGTCTACGTTAGAAAATGCTTCTTCATTTCCCTATCCATATTTTCGCAAATGCTATTATAAATTGTTGACAGCGGGTTCAATTACATGCCCATATCTTCACCATCCATGGAGAGATTTTGGTAGTACAAGATGGTAATATGCTACAATAAAGATAGATCGAGAGAATCATGGACATCGACGGGTACTGACTATGATGAAACCTAAAGAGTACATATATCCTAATCCTAAACTAGAAATATTGGAGAATCTACCTAATGATCGTCGCTTAGTGATGTTGAGAAACGCCAGATTAACTCAACAACTATCGCTAGAGAGGTGCCAACGCTTATTGAAGATAGCAGGATTCAAAAAGTTAATGGTGCTCACGTCCATATCAGATGCGGCATTACTGAAAATGGTGATCGTGAGATCGAACAGGTGGTGCTCCAGAGACGATAAAAAACAACCTGGAGGTGGCGGGGTCGGGCACTTACGGATCGGAGCGGACCGAAAGCAAGAAGCAGAGACGATCCGGGAAGGCGGCATCAGCAATCGCGAGACGGCGTTGGGGATCGGAGGGATCCCGGAGGCGGCGACATAGAGGATGGGGCGAAGGGGAGGAGGCGCCGAACCCTAGGAGAAATCAGGAGGGCGACGGTGACGGATTCGAGAACGAATTTATATTAATCGATCGATCGATCGAGAGAGAGAGAGAGAGAACACAAAAGAAGAAGGTTCAGTTTCCACCGACCAGTAAGCGAGACAAGTGGGCCCGGGTGCGAGAATGTTGGGTACGATACGGCCGCATCTTTACAGCTGATAACGGGTCGGATTGTATCCAAAGATCCGAATTTGTATCTGGCAAGTCGGATCCGGGTAAACAATTCCACCATATTGACACGGATGTGGATACTAATCCGATTTGTTTTTTATTCTATGTTTAACACTAGGTATATATACATATACACCCTTTTATAATTTAATATTTTTAATTATATATTTGAGTTATATATATATATATATATATATATATATATATATATACCTTTTAGAAAATATTGCATATATTAAAAAATAATTAATTTCGTATTTATTCTTTTCGATTTAAAAATGTATTTCAACATTGAGTGCTAATTTAGCTTATAGAAACGGTGAGTTTAAGGTTTCAGTACTTCAATTGACATCGTGAAACAAGTACTTATCTTGCTATTAATCCTTTATGTTGCAATGTGATTCCGATATAAACCTATGTAACAATTTGTGTCCGATTTAGTTTATGTGAGTCACGAATGTCTAAATAGCAGATTTACTTCGTGTCTTTGTACAGATCCGATATAAGTTATGTCCTTTTGAGTGCCGTAGGTTTGGTCGAGTCGGATAGAAATTGTCTTAGCTCCACGGTGCGTCTTACCCGGTGAGATTACTCGCGTGATCATAGGCGAGTAGACGAGGAATACATGGGACCCGCAGTTTGATACTGAGACTTTCGAAGGTACGCCGAGCGGGCACCGAGTCGATGGCTGTCTCTCGTGGAAGATGTCAGCACGAAAGGTCCCACCCCAAGACCTACATACGGGGCCCACATAGTGGGGGTCCATAGGACAAAGTGGGCCGCACGAATGAGCAGTGACTATCGAGGGGAGGCGTGCCGAATCGATGCTTTTGCTAGCGGAAGATACGAGCACTCGATCGATCGTTCCCCAAACCCGCACCTGCGGGGCCCGCGAAGTGGGTTTAGGGACCTTAAGGTGGGCCCCACAAGTAAGCCCGAGGGCAAGGGAGCGGGTACACCATCAATGGCTTTTGTTAGTGGACGACGTGAGCACAAAAGATTTGTTCCCAAACTGTCCCTAAGGGGTCCACAAAGTGGGTTCATGGGACCTCAAGGTGGGCCTCCATAAGTGAGCGCGAGGGTAAGCGAGACGGTACCGAATAATGGCTTTTGCCAGTGGAAGATGTCAGCACGAAAGATCGGTTCGCAGACCGTACCTGGGGGGCCCACGAAACAGGTTCGCAGGACCTCAGAATGGGCCCCACGAGTTAGCCGAGGCCTCCGGGGGAAGCGTTGGGCACCGTTTAAATGACTTTTCCTAGTAGAAGACGTCATCAGGAAAGATCCTTCCCCAAAACCGTACCTACGGGGCCTACGAAGTGGGTCCACAGGACCTCAAAGTGGGCCCCACAACTGAGCCGTCCTCATCGGCCCACCGGCCCATCAAACCCGTGCGGCCCTGCGTTGCCCGTTCGGAAATGCGAAATCGTCTTCTTCCCAACTCGTCTGCTAAGATTAACGAACCAAATCCGAGTCATAATTCTCAAGCTCAAATTGAAACGAGCAAAACCCGACGTTAAGACTCGGTCCATTCGGACTCACGAGCTGATTGGATTCGCCCTGGTCACTTTAGTTGGTCGACCCCTGCCACTTCCACACGCGACTCCCCCTATCTAATCCTCTGATTCACTTTGTGCTCTTATTCGATGACAATTGGCCAACCCTGCCTTCTCTGTGCAGCATCCAATCGTACGAGAGCTTCATGCGTGGGGCAGCAGGAGATCATGTCACACGTCGGTGGTCCTAGAGATCATAATCTCCACACGATGGCACAGCTTTGGTATTGTTGCATTGCAGTGACTCGAATTGGTGAGATGACATCGTCCTGTCAATTCTCACACGCATTTCATCAGTCTGCTGGTGGGCCTCTCTTTGTTCACTCATTTGCAGGAATACTGGATCAAAGCTACTTTCCCACTTGAAGGTTTGAGAGCAAGTGAGCCTGCAGAGACTCCACTGGTATTACAGTTAATAGATCAAAGCTTTTACTGCTCTCAAAAGCTGCATCAGAAAAGGAACGCCCACACCTGACACTGTTTCCAAAGTGCAGCTTCTGTTAGGTGGTCTTCGTCAGATTTCCTGGGTACATTTCTTTCCATCACTCGTACGTTGATATTTTGATCTTCTATTGGCTTCAGTCTCCTGCATTGGCTTAAGAATAATAATTAGAGGTATCTAAACTATCAAATATCATTGGGACATAAAGTTATCTAAACTATCAAGTTGAGTTGTGTATGATCTCAAGTATATAGATCTCATAATAATAAATGAGATAATTAACCTCTTTTGATGGGGCCTGAGAAGTGAGAGCCTAATAAAATTCTCAAAAGCTTTTTGGCATTGGGAAATGTTCTCACCTCATGTCCTATTATCAATGGTGTGCTTCCTTCTGGGCAAAGCTTGGGATCCAAAAATGATGGCTTGTGAGGGTATCCCCATCTCCTCCATGATAGTTGGCCACACAGGTTTGCTGTGGAAATCAATGATTTCCTCTGCAAACACATAGCATGGTAGGTTTGATGTCTTCCATTACAAGTTACTCCTTGCATGACTGAATTGATCAAGAAGGTGCATGCCATTAATTAATTAATGTTGAAAACAAATTTGCTTACTTCTTTGTCAAAACCTTTGAATTATTTTTTTTTTTACATATTTGATGTGGAGAGAATCACTATTCATGATGGGTTTGCTTGGGCTACTGAACAAGAAATACTCTTTGGATTTGATGGAATCAAATCAAAATATCTTATTATTTTGCTTAATTAAAGGGTCAACTGACTTTGGTATTTGAGTGATTATGTTGAGCTGATGAATGGGTTTCTTCATATATTTAGAGAGGCTAAAAAGTTTTTTTTGTGTTGTTTCTGTTTGTCACATTCTAAAATTTTGTTTTATTTTATTTTTTCATAAAAATTTCTGTGTGTGTGTATGTATATATATATATATGTATATGTATGTATATATATGTATATGTATACATATACATATATAAATATATAAATATAAATATAAATATAAATATAAATATTTTATTTATTTATTTATTTACATATATAAATATAAATATATAATGCTGGTTTTCTTTCATGTCAAATGTACAATATATATGTATATTTATTTATTTATTTATTTACATATACATATACATATATATTTATATATATACACACATAAACATACATATATATTGTACATTTGACATGAAAGAAAACCAGCATTATATGAGCCATAATTGCTGAATAATTCATTTTTTTACAACCATGGCAAATATAAATGTTTAAAGGAAAAAAAAGGAGATAATCCAGTAAGAGAGAAAAGTTGCATAGTGTTTTCTTAATCAGAAAGAAAAATACATCACAGTGATCTGATAAATGCATGCTTAAAACATCCCAAAAATGTGAAATGTTTTGTGAGGTTTTGTGGTGGATAAAAGTGGGGAAATGATACAAGATTCCAACACTATTAACTTTTCTAAAAGTATTGGTCACCTTCCCAAGTTAGAACACCATCTTTTTTTGACTTTATGGAGGTCCAATATGTGGAGGCAGAGGCAGCTTTAAAACAACTAATTGCACTGGTGTGAGGTCATGGTGGCCATCTTGGATTCCAAAGGTGGCAGGCATTCACAGGCACATCCAGATCATATGACAGGCACAAAAAATTGGGTTTCTTTCCCTTCTTATTTTAAGTTAATTTGATCAAATCCATACAGCTTTATTAAGCTTTCAGTGGATGGCTGTTCATTTGGTTAAACAGCAAACTTTGACCCCACAAAAGTAAGTGTTGAAAAGACATCACATCCACCTTCAGTGACTGACACAATTTACCTCCATTTTTCTCTTCTTGTTGGTCTAAATCTGTTTGAGTGTTTGACATGATTTCTCTTCTCTTTTCTCTCATCCATCATTAAACTATTTTTTTCTAAAAAAAGTAAATAAATTAATATGATAGAGTGTTGTTGGGTTATTTTTATTGTTCTTCAATAGTGTCTTTCTACCAAAAAAAGGTAGGCCACTATATCTTCAAAATTGCATGATTTTATTTGAAAATTGGAGATAAATTTTCACCTAATTTGAGGCTTATGAAAGAGACAACAAATCACATAATATATACATTGGTTCTGTTTCATTGCATGTATACCACAACATGCTGTCCACTTAGACCACATATCATCATTTGAAAAAAGGATGTTCCATAAAGTATTCTAATATGATGGTCTTTGGTTGGATTAATTGATGCAGTGTGCAATACTTAAGGCATAATTTTTTGATCCAAATCCACCTAACAAAAGTAATGTTGACCAGCCCCAACAATGGAAATGATGCACTCAATGCTTTATGCTTGGCTTTGTTTTCCTTGCAAGCAAGACAACAGCACATCAAAAGAATCTCTCTCTCTCTCTCTCTCTCTCTCTCTCACATCTTTTTAATTTTATTCTTAAATACAAAATCAAGGAGATGGAGACCATACAACCTTTTGTAAAGAATTAGATTGTAGAGAATTCCAGTCACTGCAGTATCAGTTTCCATACATGATCACATGAGAAGATTGTTTTCATTGTTTAGTTGATTGATGGCTATTCCAATTCCTAAAATGCTAACCTTAATTCCAATCGAATGAAAGACACTAAAACTAGCAGTTTGTTCACTGATCAGCTATAAGTGATTTCTGTTCACAATGCCACTAAATTCACTGCTACTTGTTTGCAGGTGATGGATTCTTAGACCTCTGAGAATTAATTACTTGCACCCCTTAATGGTTCATGATATAGAGAGAGAGAGAGAGAGAAGATACAACATTTTTCTCTTCATCTGTATCTATAGGTTAGAAGATGAAGCATCACTTGAGTTCCTATCTAATTCTAATGGGTGGTCATGTCTCCTTACAAACTAACATCTTATGACATATAACAGTGTAAAAATAGAAGAGACTGATAGCAGTTGTGATTCTGATCTATGCACCAAAACTGCACACTTTGGCTAGAAAGAACTGTTCTCTTAAAAACTCCATGCAATCTTTGCAGCCATCTGGCACAGTGCTGGTTAGTGATGTTTCACTTGGTGACCACCAACATTTCATAAAAAATAGAATCCTGAGACTGATAGCTATAGTGATTCTGAAACCTACACAATTTGGCTGGACAACCCTTCTTTTGTTTCTTGCAATCCTTGCAACTATCTGACACAGAACTGGTTGGTGGTGTTTCATTTTTGTGACAACCAACATTTCATAGCAAGCAAAACCCTGATACTGATAGCAATTTGTGATTCTGAATCATGAATGGAAGATAATGATGGTAGCTGTGATTCTGATAATGAAACCTGCACAGTTTGGCTTGAAGAATCTGTTCTTTTGTTCCATACAACTTCGATACCACCAAATGTATAGTAGTTTTCTGATGCAGACAGTGTACAGATAGATACCGATCTTACGCGTATGTATTCTTCTGGATTTGGTCTTTTGTTTTCTTCCTGCAATACCACCATCACAACCCCTAACAAAAGCCAGCGGTGTTCATGGAATCTGTCGGCCATGGCTCCAATAATACCTATAGACTCTCCCTCGATCTACTGGTAGGCTTCAAAGGAGGAAGAAGAAGTCCCACTGCAACCTGCAAGCTAGCATTTCATTGCTCCAACGTTCATGAAGAAGACAGGAGAAACACAAGTTGCTCTCAAAGAATTTGACAGTGAAACATAGAACGGTATAAATACTTATAATAACAGGAAATGAATGTTAAATTATATATTTAGCTTAAATATTTTTGTTTTCCCCTTGAAGAAGACAATGATTTTTGACAATTAGAACATAGAATGATAGGCACACGGAAATATATAATATAAAGAGAGATAAAAATCGTTTTTTGACAATATGATAGCATCACGGATTTAATAAACAACCTGTTTCATAGATCAAAAAACAATTTTTAAGATTAAATTAGATATGTTTTGGGAATTGAAAGCTTCTGGTGACATGCTTCAGTGTAACAAATGGCAGAAACGTTTCTGGAGTAGTGCGGGAATCAGCAGTATGTGAGGAGGCCATTACGGGAATGAAAACGAGATTATCCAGCGGAGGAAGCTCCAAAATTATTCTCTCTCCTGTCAGATCTGCGACACGTAAGAAGATGTAAAGGGGGATGAACACGAAACAGCGAAACAAAAGCAGAGACAAAACCGACAAAGCAGAGTCCAAAAGCAGCCATTTTTCTCTCCAACGGAGGGAGGAAAGGAGAGAGCAGAGAGGATGGTGGAGGTGCTCCGTGTCGATCCGGAGATCTTTCCGGGAGGGCTTCGTCACAGCGGCGTGAAGCACGATCCCTCCGAATCTTCTTCTTCTTCTTGTTCTTCGTCATCGTCGTCGTCGTCTGTCACCCTCCTTTAGTGGCGGCTGCGTGCCGCTAGTGAGAAAGCCGTTGTATTTTGCGGGTCGGTCATGCGCCTTTCAGGAGTTTTGCTTATTTTTTTCCCAGCGTCTTGATTAGCGAAGAGTGGCTGGAAGGTATGAAGATTTCGTCTTGAGGAGTCTTTTGCAAGCGAGGTTGACGGACGGATCAAAAGATTGGATTTTTTCTGTTCGTGTGTCTCTTTCTCTTGGTGAGGAGGAATCCGGAGACTGGTTGGTTTCGGAAAGTTATAGTGATGAAGGGAAAAATATGGTTTTTTTCCTTAATTGAGGTCTATGGACAATTTGGTGCCGAGTGATATTTTATTTTGTTTTCTGTTGTTTTGTTCTGCTTTGATGCATCTACAGCTTGAAGTTGATTAGGAGAAGAAAAGACTCTCCTTTATGGTTTCTGATATGACTGCATAAGATCCTTCATAAAGACTTGACAATTCTGAGTTCTCGGATACTGTATATAGTAGAGTGTGGGATTTGGATTTTGATTAGTAGCTCCAGATTGGATCTGGTTTTAATTTGGTTTCAGATTCGATAGTTGGTGACTTTGATGCAGAAGATTTGTTCGTTGCCACTGCGTCTTCTTTGAGGATTTGGTGGGTTTTTTATGACCTTGATCTGATTATAGTTGAGGGAAGGTCTGGAATTAGGTTGACAGAACTAAATCTGATGGCTTTCCTCGGGAAGAAACATTAACACCCCAAGTTCTGCGACTTTATCGGTTGTGGAGAGAGATTACCATGAAACTGGAATTTATGAGCTTTCTTCTTCTAGATTTGCCAGTGATTCTATACTTTCTTACCTTTTGAATCAGATTATGATTTCAGGTACTTTGTTCTTCTCTACTCTTGAAATTTGTTTTACTTCTGTTTTTTCGTTGGTGTTTTGATGATCTTTGGAACTGATCATAGAACAACTCATAACTAGGAACAGGCTGCAAATTTGTGGGGGAGAAGAAACAGCATGTGTGGCATTTAAGTCTGTTAAATTCAACATATAAATAACCAAAATAACTAATGCATGCTTTGATAATTATTGGTCACTTCTGTTTATGTGAAAGCTCCAGGTTTTGTTCAGTACCGGATCACTGGGTGCTGTTTCATTTCAAGAGCTAGATGTACAGACATGTGCTTTGATTGAATATTAACTCTTTAAATTTACTCAGATGTTTGTTAATTTAGTAACTTCAAATAAGCAATCTTATGATTTCCAACTCTCTGCTGCTCATGACATCAAATTAGTTCATCTTACGTGTCTTTTGCATTCTGAGCTACACCATTTGTTTATAACCAGACTGTTAATCTATTACAATTGTAAGCTATAATTCCCTGAGGATAACATCCAGCAATTGCAAATAATTTAAATTTGTTTATATGCAGTTTATGCTAGCACTTATCATTTTCTACTGAGATCCATGAATATGTTTTACTGAGAAGCACAATATGCCAACCAATTATCACAGACTATAATATCCAGATATATATTTCAGAAGCTTGTATGAGAAACCATTAGAGCTTGCACATAATTACTTTTCAAATGCAATCTTTCAGAATTACAGTTGTAAGCACAATATGTGCGTTGACTATTCCTTTCATAATATGGCAATTAAAGTCTAATATGCTGCTGATTTTAATAATAAATTTACTTGGTCTGTTGCAAATTTTGACATTACTGCAATATATTGCTTCCTATGATAATATGAGCATTGGGCCTGCTAATATCTTATCCCATCCCCTCGTCTGTTTCCTATTGTACTTCTAATCCTTTTTTCTTGTCAAAAAAATCTGATTTATCTTCATTCTTAATAATTCTTACAGAATTTTATTCATAAAGTTCTTCAGTTTTCGTGACCACCTGTGAGCATAATTTGAAGTTTAAACACCCTTAATGGCGAAAAGATTCTACAAAAGGTCTGCACAATCTGAAAAGCATAATGCAGGCTGTATGTGGGCCTTGATTAGCTTGTTTGATTTTCGCCAAGGGCCGCCCACTCCAAAGTTACTTTCAGATAGGAAGCATGGAAGTCCTAAACAAGGTGGTATAGCATATTCATTGTTTTGTTCGCTAAGTGATTAACTTTCCTATTTTAGTTACATGAGATTGATAATGGTTTTTCAAAATGATGTTTGGAGGAAATGATATTCCGTATTCATTTGTTTTTCATTCACTTTGTTTGCTATTTGAGTACTCTGTGATTGATGCTTCGCTTTTTTCTTGTTATATTGTGTAAAAGAATTCTTTTATTTCACATTGTCAAATGTTCTTTATGCCTGTCTCTTACATTTTGTGAAACCTAAAAACCCGTATAAATGGAATTCTTGTGCACACTTTTAGTTTGCACTTTTGATAGTGAACAAGCATGTACGTTTATGATTTCTACAGGTTTTCACAACATTAACTTCTTCTTGTCAAGGCACATAAAACAGTATATTGTTGAGAGATACGACTGGCTGTGATGCACAGGATTCATATGACTCATTTTTGTGGTAATAACCACCAATTATTGTAAGGTTTACAAATAATACTTGTAATTTAATGAATTATTAGGCATATCTTACAAAAGTTCTCCTCATGGTATATATCTCAAGGTTCAAATATTCACATATGCTTGAAGGAAATTAGTCTATCTCTTTTTTTTTTCTTGTCTATCTAATATTCGCTAAATATAACTATATATATCATTAAAAGATCATGAATATGAAAGGAATTGTTTTGACTGAAATATCATCATCAAACCACTGCAGTTCCCTGGATGAGATGTAATATCACAAAATGCATTTCCCTGAAGAACCACTGCACTTTTATCGTATGGTTACTTTGAAGTTGCTCCAAGTACCCTATTGTCGGAGAACATAATCTTCAAGTTGCTCCATGATGAGCACTAAATATGTCAATTCCTTGGACAATTTTTTTAGTTTGTTAGTGATAAACATGTTTCTTTTATTTAGCTTTGGTGTTTGAAGTTTCTGTATTATTTAATGCAGGTAATGGTTATTCAAAAATTAAAGTTGGCATGCACAGCAGTTATGAAGGCAAATATAAAGATGCTAATGTAAGTACAGTCTATTCCAGAATTCTAATACATGTTGAACACATTAATTGCTTCTGTTGACTAGTAAAATTCTGTATTTGGTTGCTTGACACAATAGTCATAAGTGTCTATGATATCATGCATATCTCATAGGTGATTATCAAAATGGTTTAGGAGATTAAGTCTTTTATGTTCTAGTCAATGTAGTTGAGATCAGGATTGTATTGTAAATCATTGAATATGCCAGGTTGAATCAGAATGTGGATTGGGGTACCTTTTACTTTTTTAGCTGCAAGGCTTTTATTTCTACTGTATTACCCCTTTTCGCTGTTCACTGCTTGTCGGCATACTTTTTTCTTGATATGCTTTTCGTTGATTGTCTAATCTCTTATACAGATTATTCTTATTATTATTTGTCAGGGGACACACTCTGCTAGTACTCTCTTAGATTTTTATTTTCTCTTTGTTTGTCTTCAAAATTATGCTTGGTTGAACCTGAAAAATGGATGAGGTTTATGTGATTTTTTAGACTGAGACACACCCCACTGCTCTCAGGTTTGGTATGTAGGCACATGTTACTTCTTTTATTCTTATTCTACTAACTGAAAGAAAAATTAACCTGTACATGAAGAATAAAATTCTATTCTAAATGAATGATTCACCTATTCAAAAGTAATCTCTCTTTTAGCAGTTCTTTGATGTTCATCTCAAGTAATGCTCTATGTTGAACTCAATCATAATTGTTTTTTTTATTCTTAAAATTTTTGTTGATTTTAACACCATATAGAATGCTATTGGCAGGTAAGTTTCACATAAGCATATAAAACCTCTTAAACTTTTTATGTGATATTACTGTAGACACACTTGACCTATTTTGGTGTTACCATGTGCTAATGAGCAAAACTTTATTTCATCCGGTATAGTACCAAGGGGTAATATTACTCATGGGGCAATGGGAGTAACTTGATGCATAATTTCTTAGAGGGGATTTCTTTTTATTCTTTTTCAATATTAATGTACATGGATATTCGATGGTAAAGAAACTGTGAGGTTATTTGAAATGCTGAAGGATTATCTTACTATCAAGCTGAAATTAATATCAATATAATGCAAAACATCAGACAGTTGGAAATACATCTAAGATTTTTAATATTTTGGATATGGTATTCGATGAACTCATTATGACTTTGCGGATCAAATGAATTCATTATGACTTTGCGGATCAAATGAACTCATTATGACTTTGTGTATAGTATCCATTCCAATAATAGTTCCATATGAAGGCCATTCTCATATTATCAAAGTTAGGTTCATTGTAGTTCATGCATGTTGTGAATCTCTTTGGGTTTCTGAAAAGCCTTAGCATTGAAAACCAAGTTAGAAAATGATTTATAAAACCTACTTCGCAGAATGTTATGGAGACCAAAGCAAAGGGAGTGGATCTTTGTCTTGCTAGTGTCAAAGTACTTATGGAGGAAGAGATGCTTCGAGATCATCAAGAAAAGAATATTCTGATCTCAGGAGATGGGACCCACTCCAAGAACATTCCTCGAGAAAGAAGTAAGACAAAAACTGGCTCTGCAAGCTTGAACGATCAGCTGTCTGATAATTTTACTCTAACTGAGAGATCTTCCCGTAGCTTTGATCTGGTTGCATTTTTGATTAAGTTATACACTCACTTCAAAGGATGTGAAGAAATGCAGGTTGATTATGATAATAAGATTGACTTATGTCTTGCTATGAAAGCTGTTGTTCAGAAGATGAGTGACCATCCTGATGAGTTTGATTCCCAGCTTGATCAAAAAGAGTATTTTCTTTACAAAGCACTAGCTGATTTTTTTGAGGCTATTGCAAATCAGGAATCTCTTGATGAGAAACATATTGTAAATAAGGCTGTTCGGTCGAGAGAGTTTATGGATGCATTGGAAATCCTTGATTCAAATAAGGAAGTAGTGCTGAAGCTCCTAGAAGATCCTAATTCACATTTTTATAAACAAATTGAAGATCGTCAGAAAACTCAAGTTGTAAAAGTGGCCAAGATGGTATCTGAAAATTATTCAGAAGTTCAGCAAGATGTCAGACGAAGGAAATTTCACGACTTTGACAATAATGAACTCTTTCACAAGCAAAGTAGATACAGCTTTTTCTGGAAAAAGGACAAGCCAAAGGAGGCCAAATCATTAAAGAACAGTCAGAATTTGGAAACTACGAACAGAGTGGTTGTCTCAAAGGCCAATCCAATGAGGACACGAGAAGATATCATGAATACTCTGAGCTTTTCACCTGAATCACATCATAAAATAAGGCATGAGGAAGAGGGTGATAGAACTGTATCCCATTTTTCTCTAAGAGAAATTAAAAGAAGGCTCAAACATATAATTGGTGGGAGCAGGAAAGAAGGAAGAATGATCTCCAGGGATGGTGTTTTACACAGAATTCCAATTGGATACAAAGTTTCAGGTGGCAGAGATAAGCTGCTTAACAATGAGGGTGTAATATCAAGCATGGAAAAGTCTTCTGAAGTTTTGACCGTTTCCAAGGGAAAGGACAGTAAGGTTAATCCAGAAGAACATGAACTTAACATCAGGAGTGGTAATTCTGCCATAAAACCTGCTTCTCCTATCTATAAAGAAGGCAAGAAACACCTTGTTGATATGCTAGATATTGGAGATCAAACAGCTAGTTTGCGAACAGCCCATGTCTCAAGATCTTTGGGGAGGCTGCTTTCTATCCCAGGGTACAGTGTATTATCTCCGAGAGTGATTCCCGGAAGTGACAAGGAGCTTGTCTTTCCATCTGAATTGACAGGATCTCTCCCATTACAGCAGTTCAATCAAGAAGATGCAACCAATTCTTTAAGCTCACTGAAACAAATCTTGGAGATCTCATCTTGCTCTTCCAGCAATCAAATTGATGAAATAACATTGCTTGACTTGAAAGCCAAGCTCACTGATAACCACATGCAGGATGGATTGTGTATTGGATCAGACTTGAACCATGAAGGTAATACTTAAATATGTAACTGAGCTTCCTTTTAGATAATTTCCTGTGCTTTCTTTTAGAATGAACTCTGTCAAAACTTTTCAGGAAGTGCACAAAAAAATGTGGACACAGTCGATGTAACAAGCAAGTTATTGACTGACATGTTAGATGTGTCCTTGCAGCCAAATAGCTATGAATCTAATGTTGCATGTGAACGATGCAACGGAGATTTAGTAAGTTGTATTATTTGTTTCTTTTTGTCTGAACAATTTGTGCTTCCTCAAATGTATTTATGCCATTTGTTCTACTAGGGTATGTCAGAGGTAGAATCACATACTGTGACACAATCTGGATTCTCACCGAGATCTTCTCTCAGAGAAAAATTAGAGGCTCCCGAAGGCACTATCGGGAAGCCAGGGCGATCAAGTCCAGTATCTGTTCTTGAAAAATTCATCCCAGCAGAATTCACCAGTCCTAAGTTCAGAGCTGTAGAGCACTGTATGATCTGACACAATATGAATATCATTTATGTCGTCATTTACTCATCCCTAGTTTCTCATTTTCACGGGAACTGATTGATGTTATGCTTAATTTGCAGCTATGATTCCAACACAAGATGCAAGAGTCAATTTAAGGACTTACTCTGAAGGCAGACAAGCTAGGTTTAAATATGTCGAAACCGTGTTGCAAGCCTCAGGGTTAGGCTTTATCGACGCAGAGAGATGGCATTTGGCAGAAAAACTACTCGAGTCATCCTTACTCGATGAAGTAGGAATGTCATGTTCTCCACACATAGATGATCCAGAGCTTCTATTTGACTGCATCAATGAAGCCCTTGAAGAGATACAGGCGAAGTTCTTCAAATGTACTCCTTGGGTATCCTTGATCACATCCAACCTCAAGCAGGCTCCAGTAGGACAAAGGTTAATCAAAGAAGTTAGCAAGAGAATCGAAATGCATATTCCCATGTGCTTACCGAGCACATCAGATCAAATAGTAACAAAGGACTGGGAGTGTGGAAGTTGGATGGACCTTCAGTTCGAGACCGACAACATCGTTGTCGAGATATGGGATACTGCCCTAGATGACTTGGTGGAAGAAACTATATTTGACCTGTGGCTTGAACTCTCAGCTGACTGGTGACATTCCTTGTTCATAGTTTGATATATATGTTGAGCAACATTTCAGTCAACCAAATCCATTTCTAAGCAATATGAAAAGGGGGAATGGACCTTGTCCTCTGCCTTGTCATTAATGTTCCTGGTGTGGTTTTTTTACTGTTATCAGTCACAGCATTACACCTAATTACTGCAATAGTTTCTACTAATTCTATTGTCTTTCCTTATGTGTAATGCTGTGGAGGAGACCTAAAGAAGCTTGAGATGTATGCATTTGGGTCTTTAGATGTACTGTTAATAATACCCTGGAAATGGTGTTAATCACTGATGTGTTCATCACATCTGAGTTCTATATCTTATTTATATTTGGCATGTTCCTGTAAGATTCATGTCACTGAAGAATCTGATAACATCTGATATATCATTCATATGCTGAATGATTCATATTGTTCATCTATCTAACTCTGTATGCCATTCTTCTGTGATCTCCGACTCAAAAGAATGCTCTACATACGTGCAAATTGCACTCTGCATGAATACTACTTGAAGCTAATGGCGATGGGGCTCCTGACGACATGCTTCCCTGAAACCCACTTCAGCTGTCCCTCGGCATTGCCTGAGCCACCACCGCCTTTGCTTTCGAATGTGATCTTGAAGGTCTTCTTCTCGTTTACAGTAGTGAACGAGAGGCTCGTCGGCTCCACTCGCACTGACACCCCTTCCGGCGCATCGATCTCTGACGAGTACGTCTCGTGCGCCTCGCCGACGTTGGTTACCGTCCGGGAGAATACGACTGCAGTAGGGTGATTCCCACCGAGAGGCACCAAGATGGACGGGTAGTTCAGCTCTCCCTCGGTGATGCGCTTCGCCAACGAGCAACTCACCGAACTGTGAATCACCGATCGCACATGGGCGTCGGTGTAACCCAGGCCACAGAGGTAAGGGACGTAGTCGTCGGGGTCGATGTCGTAAACTAGCCCCGGATCGAGGGCCTTAGCAGGGTCCACTTGACCGGCGCCAAAAGAGAAGAGTCCTGCCGGGAGGAGCCTCTCGTCGACGATCGGCTGCCCGGTGTTGTCGGATGTGTAAGCAGTGGTCATCATTGCCGACTTCATGGCGGCAGGCGACCAGCTCGGGTGCGCCTTCTTCAGCAGCGCGGCCACTCCGCTAACGTGGGGGCAGGACATGGACGTACCTGACATCATGTTGAAGACGAACCCGGTGAGCTTCGTCGTCGACGTTGGCTGCGGCTGCGACCCCTGCCCGAGCGTGGAGGGCCATGCCGCGAGGATGCTCACCCCGGGGGCGGCGATGTCCGGCTTCAGGATCCCCGGGGACTCCTTGCTGGGGCCTCTGGAGGAGAAGGAGGGGACCGCCGGCGCGCGGGAAGTATTCATGGTCGTGCCCTTGAAGACGATGGCGGCGGTCGGGTTCGAGGAGGACTTGATGTAGTCCTTGATCTTGGAGCCGTAGGCGTAGGCAACGTGCGACGCCGGGAGGACGTGCGCGTCGGCGAGGGTGCTGTATCCGTCCACCTGCTCGTTCATAAGGATCATGCCCGCGCCGCCGGCCCCTTGGACTACCTTGCCTTTGTCGATCCTGTTGTTACCGCCGCGCTCGCAGAGCACTACCTTCCCCCGCACGTCCAACCCGTCCAAGGAGCCGTTTCGGCACTTCGAGGCGTTCATCTTGCTGCCGTCGCCGGCCCACACGAGAGGTAGGTTCTTGGAGCCGAAATCGGGCGGCTGCTGGTACAGCGACTCCCCGTCGAATTCCTGGCCATCGCCGAGCTTGACGGTGGCCCTGATGGTGCGGTTCGTGGAAGTTGCTGCCACCGTCAGGACCCACGGCGCCTCGTTGGATAGGGTGGACACCCCCGGCCCTGAGTTCCCGGCGGAGCAGCTGACGAAGATCCCCTTCTTGATGGCGCCGAAGGCGCCGATGGCCACCGGGTCCGCGTGGAAGGGCGCGGGCGCGCTCCCGACGGAGAGGGAGATCACGTCGACCCCATCTTCTATTGCAGCATCCATGGCGGAGAGTATGTCCGCGCCAGCGCAGCGCCCGCGGTCGCACACCTGATACACGGCGACGTGGGCGCGCGGAGCCATCCCGGCTGCCACGCCCGCAGCGTGTCCAAGCGCGTCGGCATGGTCGACGGGCGCCCCGGCCGCAGTGCTCGCCGTGTGGGTGCCGTGGCCCTCGTTGTCCACAGGGGGAACGGCCGAGACCGCCGGGAGGCCGTAGGAGCGGATGAAGGACTGCGCACCGATGAGCTTGTTGTTGCAGGCGGACGTTTTGAAGTCGCACTGGCCCTTCCACCTGGAGGGCGGGGGGGGCATGCCCTTGTCATCGAAGGAAGGGTGGCCGGGCGTGACGCCACTATCGAGCACGCCGATGATGACCCCCTCGCCCATGTTGGACTCTTTCCACACGCCGCCGCGGCCGCCGCCGCCGGAGGTGGGGTCTCGCAGGCCCATGAACTCGGGCGTGTGGGTGGTGAGGAGGTCGTAGGTGCGGTCGGGGTACGCGTGCACGAACCAGTCCAGCTTGGACATGGCTTCCACCTCAATCGCGGTGAACATGGCGGCGAAGCCGGTCATCACATTGCGGTAGGCATGGAGGATGCGGGAGACGGGGGAGTCATCGCCCTGCAACGAGAACTGGGCGTTGGCTTTGGTCAAGAGGGACACGTAAAAGTTCCTCCATTCCGTGGCGATGGTGAAGAGGGGGCCCTCCGGGCGTCGGACGTGAATGATGTACCTCTGCAGCCCTCGGTCGTCGGGTCCGTCCGAGGGTTCGGCGAAGTGGCTAAAGGGGCCGTCGATGAGACGAAACGGACCTCGGATGAAGAGTTGAGCGTCGACAGCTATGAACTCGGCGGAGAGGAGGAAGGAAGCGAAGAGGAAGAGGATGGAGGAGTGGCGAAGAGCCATGAGAAAGAGGAGGATGAGAGAACAGGGGGAAAGCATGCAGCTTTATACGAGGGAAAGAGAGTGGACGGTGTGGTGGTCAAACCTCCTCGATGTGAACCGTTGGTTCTCTTCCTCTACTTGACCCGGTAAAGCACTACTTCTTCTCCTTACCTTTCATGGAGAGGTGAATTCTCGGTGAGATGAATGGCCAAAAGTATTTGACTGTGAAGTAAGAATCTTAAGTTATAGTGTTCCTGTTAGAAAATATTAGAGTAAACATTGAAAGAGGATTAAGAGAATATTCTTATGTTTTTAAAAGTTTGATTATATATAGTTCGAATCTAATTTATCAATTTTTAATGGTTTTTAAATACAAAAATATTAGTATATATATTAATTATTTTGACAAAATACATGGACATCTAATTAAAAAAATTGATATATGAAATTAAGATTTATATAATTCCAACAATTTAATTATCACGTCACTATCAAATAAAAAATAAAAAAAGTTTTTTTTTATCAAAATAAAAAAATATTTCATGTAAATTCAAAAATATTTAAGTTATTGTCACCCATCAATGCTTATTATTAGCACAAATAAACATCATTATCATTATCATTACTGCGATCATCATCTATTTCGATCCTAAAGTTAGTGGACCGACCATTTCAATCGAAGACACTCGTATACAGCACAAACAATCTTGAAGAAAGCTAATTTTTCACAACCTCACATGGGATGGGATGGGAGACCTTCCAACTTTGTTCCTTGTGCATTGGACAAATCACTTTTGTAGTGCTTCAAGCAATCACGTTGACATTTCAATATGAGAAATGCTTTTTGGCCCATGAAAGAAGCCAAGAAATGAACACACTCAGTTTATCTTAGCATGTTTACTTGCACAAGTTACATGTCGTGCATTGTGTAGTTTAATGAGTTGTTGTCGATGGACTCTGTCAGCATTGTAAGAGAAGCACTGAATGCACGTTGAGCACCACAATTTGCAAGTAAATAATGTCTCAGCCACCTTAACAATCTCATCTCCTGCTGTTTCCGGGAAGGAGAGAAAGTACTCAGGTGGACTTAGACACCCACACAAAAGTCAACACTCGACAGATCTATCTATGGGAGGTGGCATCAATCTTGACCACAAACTCCAAAGGAATGGAAAGATGAGAGAATGCTCATATCCAAAGGAAATCTAACTACTAATCCATCGATTAAAGAATGTACTGAACAAGCAGTAACAACTTGATGCGCACACATTAGACACAGAAACGGCTTTGATGTAATCTCTCTGGATCATGCATCTTGTGTTGCAGCAAAGTCGTCGACCGTGTAGCCCACCTTGTCGAACCTTCCTCGCTCGCTGTTCTCTCGGAATTTGATGTAGTCTCGGCAGACAAATGGCCTGTAGATCCTCTTCCCCCCATCCCCCACCACTTCCTCCGGTGCTGCCACAACCTTCTCGTCCTCAAAACACCAGAAGAAGGCAAGTGAAAACCGGTTGGCCGTTTGCTTCAGAACCACCCGGTGCTCAGACGAACGTAAACGTCCATTGCTCCAAGCCTGCAGCAAGTCTCCAATGTTAACAACCAGTGCCCCCTTGATCGGCATTATGTCCACCCATTTACCTTCCTTTGATCGCACTTGAAGCCCACCCATCTCGTCCGGATACAGTATCGTTATGCAGCTCATGTCAGTGTGCATTCCGAGCCCTTCCACCTCGTCCATGCTACTTTCCTCAGGTCTCGAGTAGTTGTTTATCCTTAGATATCCATGGCACGCACTGAACTCAGAATCATAGTACTTGGTCTCAATTCCATCACCCAAACAGATCAAAAGGATTGCCAAGATCCTCCTAGATAGGTCTACCATGGCCTCCCCATACTGTTGCAATATGTGGCTGCCAAATAAGGAGCAAGACTGCATTCAACACAAGAACATGACAACTATGGAACAGAGAAACTAACACTATACTCACCAGAACTCGACGTTAGGTTGCTCAAAGATGGCATCGCTCGATCCCTTTGCTGATGCAAGGTAGTTTGGACCTGAGACTCGGAGGCTCTCAAAGAATGGCGATGCTATGAAGTGAGGAGTGTAAGTGCCCATCGCAGTCAACGGCCCTATCTTGAGCTTGGCATCCAATGGCAGGTTGAAGGCTTGATGAGCGAGAGCACGAAGATGGTCGTAGAGGTCTTTGTTGATGCCATGATTGGTGATGTAGAAGAAGCCCCAGCCCTTGCATGCTTGGTACAGCAAAGAGAGGGAGGTGGTCAGCACTGGTTGAGAGATGTCCAGCACAGGGAGCTGCAGAGAAGTTTGCTCAGACATAGACACCATCCTGTAAAGAAGGGAGCCAAAGCAGGGAAAGAAAGAGAGAGAGAACAAACAGGAGGGAAACCTTGGTTTGACAACCATGTATGCGAACAATTTATATCTCACTCTGGTTGCCAAAGTTAAGTTTTATTTTTCATATTTAATAACTTTCTGCCAGTTCATGCATATGCTTATCTGGGTCTTATAGAAACATATAGTAGGGGAGCATGATGCTCCAAGTTAACCTGCATCTGCCCATCCATTAATTCAGTCTAAGTTTGGAGAAAGTAGATGAAAAAAGTCAACAAGGGTTTTGCAATAATTAATCCTAGTTAATGGCCAACATGAGGCAACAATTACGGGCAAACGTTTCTTGTCTTCTGAAGGGGACTTTGTTAGGTAAATCCTGTTACGTGATCCACCAGTATGTTCTCGAAGAGAATCAAATGCAGCAAACCCAATACAACGAGAGGGGCACTGTGCTATTGTGTTGTGCTGAACCTTTTGAACAGTCTTCAGTCCAAACTTCCAAAGTCACATGGATTAGAATGACTCAATCATTCACTAGGAGGAAAGAAGATTGAATAAATGAAAAAAAAGGAAAGATAACGTAGGAAAGAAACAACAATTGCAAGCTTTCACCTAAAATTGCTAAAGTTTGTGCTGTTGTCAACCCATCTAAAATCTTACATTGATAGATACAGAAAAGGTTTATTAATTATATTTCAAATAATAGCTGAGATAAATTGAATTCGATGAGATGGATGCTTGTGATAAAATACGCTCTGAGAATTCAAATTCCAGACATGCAACATACATAAAATTCAAAACAGAACCTAGATTACATTGCAACCTAGTATGATCTAATGTAATTGACTAACATATTAAGAAATTCAAACATAGTTACAAAAGTTTCAGATCAAACCTGAGGGCTGAAATTAAAAAAAAAGCTAGACCAAACTTGCATAATTCAACTTCATATGGGATTCAGCTGTCATGCTATTATATCATCAAGACGTATAACACTTGTATGTTTTTGAATTCAACTTGCATATTTATATGGGATTCAGTTGTAATGCTATCACATTGCCAGCATGCATTCTGCAAGTGTACTAGTTGCTCATACTTATATTCCCATATTATGGGCACTGGAAGCATTTAAAGAGATCTTTTCACATTGCAACCAGAAAACAATTCAATAATTAATCACACATGCAATATTAGTAAATGATCAACAATATATCAATTAATTGCTAAATAACATTTAAGCCAAAGAAACTTGCATATTTAATATGGGATACAACCGTTATTTTATTGCATCATCAGACTGTATATTGCAAGTGTACTATATATATATATATATATATTGCTTCCAACATTATAGAAACCAGAAATATTTATCAACAGGAAATCAACTTGACCAATAATAACATGTAATACTAGCAAGCAATCAACCATATGTCAATTAAATGTTTAACAGGATCTAAGCAGAGAAAAAGCAAAGAACATCACCAAAGAGAGAAAATGTCATATTAATCCTTGATCATTGGTAGTTTGCTGCTGCTGTAATATCACAAGAAACATGCCCAAATATAACTCTTGAGATAGAAATAAGCTTCATCTATGTGCCTAGTTGCTAGCTTAAGGAGAGAGACCTGGAGGACATTGAACCCTTAAATACATGAGGTCTACCCATGCTGGTACCAAAATGGAAACTTCATCGACTATTTTCACTTGAGACAGGATGCATTCTTTTTTTTCTTGAACTAGTTATTTGTGGGATTATAAATCTATCCTTAAAAGAGACTTAAGGTTTACATATATATGTCTGTAAACAACCTCAGTGACTTCACCAGTGAAGGTTTTTATTTAATAATGGCTGGAGACGTTCAATCAAGGACTGCTGTACTGCCCAAAATGGTATGGTACAGATGGTATGTATCAGTCCGAGCATGGGCTGATACACAGACCACCCTGCTTTGGACGATCTGGTTAAAATAATAAAAAACAAAAAAGTGGTGGGCCCTGTCTAACTCAGTGTTAAAAAAAGAAAAAAAAAAAAATTAGGGCTCGTGAATGCAAGCCCTCTTCTCATGTATAATGCCGCTGCTGCTTCTCCTCCTCTTCTTTCTTCTTCTTCCTTCTCCACCGCTTCCTCTTCTTCCTTCTTCGTTCTTTCCTCCTTCCTCCTCTATTCCTCCACCGCTCCTTCCTCTTCTCCCTCATTTTCATCTTGACTGTTATATACTGGTCTGACAGATCATGAAGACAAGTTCGGTACCCGAAATGATAAACCTTACGTTAAATGATCGCCTACATTTATCATTAATTCCCCATGAGATGCCAAGAATTTTCTGATTGAGAGAACTCATATTGAAGTGCTAAAAGATAAAATATGCATGACACACATGAAACCAAACCTTTATCACTTGCTTCTTATCTCGCAAGATTAAATCAAATCTATACCTCTAATGTACATCAATCATATGAAGAATTTGTAGCATAAAAATAGGATTTTTGTTCAAAATTGGCATCAATCATGTACCCGAATGCGAAAGATTTAGTCATATGTGACGCCTTGGTACATTCTTCACGGGTTACATTTGAGATTTCTCAGAGTGAGGAATTTGGTTCCACACTTGGAAGAATTTTAAAAGTAGAAAATTTGATCACAAAGTTAGAAGGTTTTGAAGAATGGGAATTTAACCATGAACTTGGAAGTTTCTTTAAAGATGGAAAATTTGACCCCAAACTTTAGAATGCGGAATTTGTGCCCAAGCCCATGATATTCTTTTGTTGGAAGGACCACAAACTAAATTTGCAAGGGGGTTTAGTCGGTGATTGTTCCAGCTGAATTTTCTGAAGTTGAGGTATTTGTCCTCAAACTTTGATATTTTTGTCTTCAAAAGAGGTTCACTATCTAGGAGCTCAATTGGGTTGAGCTAGCAAATATATCGGTTGATTTCTAAGAAAGGAGATTTCACTAATGAAAGAAAAGTACATCTAGGATTTCAGTGGAGTCAAGTTAGCAATTATTCCAGATTATTTCTAATAATGCATATCTTGACCTCAAATGTACAAGACTTAGCTTGTGGTCAGTGAAGTTGAACTTAAAAGATAATTCCAAGAAATGCTTCAACAAGTTACCTCGCATTTTCCATCACTTGAGCATTATTTTTAAATGTGCTATCTCCAAAAATTGTCTGAGATGTTTGTGATCTTTGTAGCTTGTCATAATTTTTCTGGAACAGTTGAAGCATCACCAGATTGAAGTTGTGCCTTCAGTTTTTCATCATCTTGAAGCTTGTCCAATAATTCATCACTATTGAATCCAGAACAAGATTCTATTTCAGATGGATTTTTGCACCTCAGAAGAGGCCACATCACCTCTCAGTTCCTGGGTAAAATTCTGCATCATCTTCAACCTCTAAGAAAAATGACAATACCAGCACCAACAACAAAACAGAATACATAAATGACAATGAACTGTAATCTTATACATATTGATTTGGAAGTCAACAGGGCAACAGTTAAATACAAGCAATATCATTATAAGCTTGCTAGTTGTGCATAAGAAACAAGTTCAACCACCTTGTTTTGACAAGAATATGTAAGATATCAGTTAAGCAAACAATGTCATATTTCTAGACAGACCTCCTATCATGTTATATTTCTTGCTCGAAATAGATGGGACATTACGGCTTCTTGTTGCTGACAGCCTATCATTTTATAGCAAGGAATGAAACAACACACCTACAAAAGGATAAAAAAGAGAACCAACTTCAGATGCTTAAAGCAATGTAATTGCTTAATTAGCTTGGTAGTCATGATCCAAGGCTGATGATTATGAATTAGCATGATAGGGCGTGGTCTTGTTTTCAGCAGGTGTTGTTTTCGCCATTTATTGAGGTACATGCATCAATTATTGCTTGAGTCAATTCTAAAATTAAGAATCACAATGAAAAATAAGCTCCTGTGGAGTTTCTAATATTCCCAAGGACAGAGTCCGCAGACCAGTTAAGATGATTTAACAAGAAACAATTGCAAAAAAGAGTGAACCCCAAACAAGAACAAGTGGAGATAGGTTTATCATTAATTCTCCACTGTCATCTCTTTTGTATTTGATGCATTTATTTAGACTCTAAAGATCTCTTCACTCTATACAATTACATCAAATTTCATATACATTTCAAGAGGTGCAAAAGTTTGTCAGTGTCTGTTGTAGACTAGAAGTCAATGATGTAAAAAGAAAAAGAAGAACCAAACATCTAAGGTTCAATAAATTCACAAGAAAAGCATGACTCCATGTGAAGAACCTAATTGTTGCTTTTTGTCTAAATGAAAATTCATATACCAACTCCAATAAGGAAACTGACACCTTGTCCTGATATGTTCAGATAATCTTGTCCTGTTATTATTATGCTAGTAAGGTTTTCTGGGGTTTAGAATTGCCAAAGGTCGAGTAACATCTCTTTTTTTTTTTTTCGCTTTAGAAATTAAAATAAAGGACTACCGAATCCCACAGCTCGGAAGCAAAAAAAGAAGTAACCTGATAAAGATTTAACATCGCCTCCGTATCCAAGCCCTTGATCACAAAGATTCTTGGCCATGAGGCGCAGCTTGAAGAAATCGGAGTCCTGGAACCCATCGGTCTCCAGCATCCTCTTCTTGTTCCTGGCATTGCGCGCATCCATAACCAAGCCCTTGGTCACAACATTCTAGGCCATGAGGCGTGGCGCAGCTTGCAGAAATCGGAGTCCTAGAACCCATCGGTTTCCAGCTTCCTCTTCTTGTTCCTGGCATCGGGCGCCTCCACCAAAGCTTCCATGTTTGGAATCACGGCGGCTTGGGCCGCACAAGGAGGTTTCAGTTCCTCCACTCTTCGAGAACCGAGTTGCCGGGGAGGTGTTCGTTGAATTGAACGAGAGAGGAAAGGGGTTTGCAACCAATCTCAAGAAAACCAATATAGCTTTCTTGAATATGAGAAGGAAACGTTCAATATCAATTAATCAAAAATAATGTAGAAGAAAATATAGGAAAAATAAGAACTATTCAAGCACAAATAATCAAAATATATAAGTATATTCGATATACAATAATAGATCTTATTAGAAATAATTAATTATTTTAGAAAGCATAATATAATAATATATAGTAACCATATAAAGTTCCATAATTACTTGGAAATAGTATCTTTTGATATATATATATATATATATATATATATATATATATAACAAAATCTATCCAAATATTTTGGGCCGCATGAGTTAGGCCCAATAAATTAATGGATATATAACAAATTTAACCGAATTGGCCTCGATTAGGGTTTTACTAAAGAGTCATTTGAACCTTTCAATGTAATAGGCTCTGTGTCGATCTATAATACCCTAATGATGAACTGAGAAGGAAGACAAATCAGGCCATGGATGACAATCTAGGCTACGGTTGCTGCTTGGAACGTTTGGAAGCAAATTTTCTGGTCAAGATGAAAGACCGGAAGAAAGTTAGGAAAGGAGAAATCAGTAATTTCATGCAGCAGAAGAGTGCAGTGTGAGGCAGGACGATTCGGGCGTCGGAAACGAGTATTTTAGTAGCAGCTCAGCTTTAATTAGCATCCCCAGAGAGGGAAGCTGAACCGGAACCGGACAGTAAAAGGCCTTGACCAAACCTCGAGAAGTGTGTCGCAGCAAGCGGAAAAAGGGCTTGCTTGACATGCATATTATTCTCTTTGATCCCAGCCATTGTTTGCTGCCAATCTATAGTCCGCAATAGAATTCAGCATCCTTGCCTTCTACTAGACGAAACAAGCGAGGGAAAAGATCTCCGCCTGAGGAGAGGTAGCCCGCATTTCTCTGTTTCCTTTCCTATTTCTTTTTCTTTATTTCCGTGTTTAAGGAACTTTTAGGGATTCTATTCTGAAGTGAAGGATGTTTGTTGATGGGCGCCTTTGCTAATGGCACTAAGAATTCGAGGGTTCCGGTTCCTTTGATCTCGTTTTCTGACACAAGATGAGATTTTTAGGGAGAAAAATAGCTCCTTTTTGTGATTTCTAGCTTGTATGGTAAAGTTTTGAGATCTTATGCTATTTTTGCATTGGGATGAGATTCCTATTGATGGTGAAGATTTGCTCACATTTTTCCTTTTTTTGTTTTTTTTTCTATGATTAAGGAAGGTTTTTTGGGGGGAAAATCTACTTGTTTTGTGGGGTTTAGTGCTTTGATTCGATTCCAAATCACGTTTCTTCAGCTGTGTCCACCTTTTGCCCCCGCACTGTGGCTCGGCATTGTAAGCGACAGCGGGTTGTCTTCATTTTTTTCTGCTTTCTGAAATGCTGCTGTTGCTACATGGCTCTTTTCTCGGTGCAAATGGGTATTTATTATGTTTTCTTAGTATCTAAATTTGCAAATTTCAGCCTCAAGATTGTTTCTTTTATTTGGCAACTTAGGTTAACCATCATCACAGTTCAGCTACATTATGCCTGTTCTGCAGAAGGAAGATATTTCTAACATGGTTTCAGAATGGTTTTAAACATACTTAGACCTCCATGTCGTGCTAGAAAGAAACATAGATGGAGGACAAGTTGCATGCATTCAAATATTGCTCTCCCACCATTTTATGCATTTTATGATATGAATCCAAGATCAGAATTATGCCCATCCATAATGGTTATAATACATTAGTACATGATAATAGTTTTGGATCTCATGATCATTTATGGTACCTAACTTGACTCCCTTATGTTTCAGCAACTTATCATATTGATGGGGCAAGAAAGAGGCTTAAAATCTGAAGACAATTTTCAAGTAAGATTGAGGCCCAAAGTTGTTAGTTCTTGCATTTCTAGCAGTAAAAAGGTACAAGAATGTGATAGAAAAGGACTTCCTAGATATTACGACTTGAACAGATTGGATAGTGATCTGAGAGTACTGGGCCGCAGTTATTCTTCCAGCCCCGGTTACAAAATCATGCCTCTAAAAATGAGTGATAAAGTGCCAAAAAGAGGTTCTATGTATCGGAGCTCTAAAGAGGTATCAAGAATGAGAAAACTAAGAGATATGAGGAAAGTTGAATCATGTTGCAGTGATGATGCTTTTTTTTCATTTGATATCATTGATTCATTCCATCATCATGGCTTGAAAGAACCTGTTTTGTTTTCACATGAAGAACATTCACCTCTTGGTTCTATGGATGCTACATTGGATCCTTTATCCGTTGACCCAACCGACTCAAACACAACAAGATCTATGGGTTTTTTAGATCTTTCATCTCATGATCTTCCTGACAAGAATCAAAGTCTGAATAAATCATGCTCATCTTCTGCCTCCAGAAAGAATAGTTCTATAGATGACCTTTTTGAGATCTCCCTGCAAAGCATTGAAACAGAATCTCATTCTACATATGCAGCAAATGAATTTCTAAGAGCAAGATCTCACAAGGATCAAAAGTTTCATCATGATCAAAGAACTGATCCTAGAATTTCTGAGGAAATCATTTCTCAACTAGATTCAGTAAATATTCTACCGAAGTCCTTTTCATCAAAGGTAGGGATGTCAAATATAGCTAAGTTAGAAATTGCTTTACTTAATGCCAGCCCAAAAATTCAACTTACCCCACCCAGTAACACTTCTGATCCCATTAGGAAAACCAAATCTCTCCAAAATTCATCGCATTTAGAAAAAGAAAATTTTGGAAGTAGTGCTAGTGAAGCTGCAAAAATCAGGAGGAGTGAAGTGCTTTGCGAATCTTTACTAAATGACCTCTCTATTATGGCACAGCAGATGGAGATGGATGAAAATTTACAGAGACAACAGGCTTTTATCACAGCTTCTTCACCTGCTCACCTTAATGGAATCCTTAAACTGGAAACTGTGAATGGAAACCCAATTTTTGAGTTCTCTGTAAAAGCTCCTGAAGATGTTCTTATTGCTAAGACATGGAAAACTGATAATGCATTTAACTGGATTTATACCTTCCATAGCTCTAACAAGAAGATAAACAACAACAGCAGGACAAAAGATCAGGATGGGCAAGCACCTCCAATGGTTGGGCAGATGCAAGTTTCTTGTTTTTTGTGCTCAGAAGTAAGAGAAAAAGGATCATTGCATAACTCGATAGCTATGGAGTTTGTTCTATATGACATTGCCCAAGCAAGAAGGAGCATCATGATTGATGAAAGATCTCAGTGCTCTTTAGATTCTACTCATCCTCTGACCAGTAGTGTCAGCACAACCTCAGTCAAAGAGAAACATATAGGCATAGATAATTCAAAGGAGCACCAAAATCCTACTCGGAATACATGCAGTAGTTTTCGGTCAGATGCATCAACTTCTTGCCCATGGTCACCAGCAGATTTGCATCCGCAACTTGAGATTGCAACTACTATTGTTCAAATTCCTTTCGATAGAAGGAAGGGCTCAAAAGGTTTAAAAGAAGTCACCTCAAAAGAAAATCAAAATTTATCAAGTTATCCTGCTGTTGATCAGGAAATGGAGATCTGCTGCTGCCTAAATCCTGCAACTGTCAAGGTGATAACCCCTAGTGGCACACATGGGTTGCCAAATACCGATGAAGGTGGTCCGTCCACCTTACAAGATAGATGGAGGTCTGGTGGAGGATGTGATTGTGGTGGCTGGGACATGGGCTGCCCAATTGTCGTGTTCAATAATTCTCATGCCGATGATTGGGTGGATTCCCAAACATTTGAGAGTCGGAAGTCAATGTTTCTTTTTCTTCAGGTACGGTAATCTCAAGATTTCGAACTGCATTGCCATCTGTTTGGTATGACATGATTAATATCTGTTGTTTCTTGATGGAATATTCATTTATTGCAAATCTTTGTCTCGGGCTGAGGGGTTCAATTGGTGTGAGAATTAGTTCTAGTTAAGAATGGGCTTTTATTCACATTGCTATGGCATTATAGTCTGTTACAGGAATGTGTGAAAGGTGTTGCTAGATTATATGATTACAAATGAGACTTGAAATCTGTAGTTCAAGTAGAGTCAGGCTGCTTTATTTTTGGTAAAATTAGGCTTGCTGGCTTCGTTTTCTTTTCGATATTTTAAGGATCCTACTTCACTGGTGGAAATGTCCAGTTATCTCCACTTCTATCTGGCGTTGGATGAGTATGAAACATGTTGATGGGATCATTTTTAATTGGTACATTGCTATATGCTAAATTCTTGGTTCGTTGGCCCTGCTTGTCCCCGTTATCTTTATGTGTACCCTCTAGATATTTTATATTCCGTCTTACTTTCTTTTATATTATTATTTCTGTCTGCTAAGAACATAAATAGCTCATGAGAGCCCCTATCTCTCTATCTCTTCCCTTAATCCAAACATGATGCTTCTCTACTGAAATTTGATACTAGATCAACTACAAATAATGGATACAATTTTCATCTGCCTTGGATGTGAATGTTCTTGCAGTGTATATTTATTGTCATTGAAGTTCGACTGTAAACCATCATGAGCAAAATCCTTTAGTTGAAAACCCATAGAAGACTTTTCTATGACCCTCTGGACGCTTAGGTCTCAAAGGAGCAACCTCAACATGGTGGCAAGTTTTGCCCGCTATTATGGGGTTGTAGGCATAAAGACATGATATGCTGGGAGTTTTAGCCATAAAGATAATGTCATAATGATAAATTCAAATGAAATGTCAAGGGATATTTCAAAGCATCTGAGAGTCAATTCTCTAGGACAGAAAATGACTTAAAATTGAATTGTCCCGCTGATGCTGCCTATAAGCCTACAGACTGCTGGCATCACAAGATATCTTATCTAGGAACTTTTGGTTGGTTAGTGGAAATTTGCCATCTTTATTCTGGAGTGCAGTGAACTTTCCAGCATCAGGTGGAAAGATATTCATTAAATGAAGCAAATTTGGTACTGTGAAGGCCATCTACGGAATGCCTGCCATTGTTCCTTTTAATCTGCTCAGGTTAGTATATTGCCAATTGAAACAAGCAAGTCTTGTCATACAGAACTTTTGGGCAACTTTTTGCTTAGGAATCAATGGTCTAAATATTCTAGTTGCTTATAACTCCTGAATTACAATATATATTGTGTGAACTCAGCAATTTTTCTGAAAGACCATTGATTGTAGTGTTCTTCTAACATTATCTTTTAGCTTATTGACTGCTATTACATTATTGGTTGATTTCATTCTGTGAATATTGTTAATTTGGGGCAGAATTGTGTTGTTAATACTGTGACCCTTGATTCGTGCATGCAAACAGGGAAGCAAAGAAAAGGTGCCTGCACTATCAATAATGGCTGATGGGAAAGGACAATATCTTGTTGATTTCCATGCACGATTATCAACTTTACAGGCATTCTCGATCTGCATTGCCGTATTGCATGGTTTCGATGTTGCTTCAGCTGTTATTCAGGAGAAGAACAGGCAAAAGTCACATTCTAATTCATTGAAATTACTCCTCGAGGAAGAAGTCTGGCGACTGATTGAAGCCGCTGCAAGTGAAGAAAGAAAAGTGAAACCAACATCTTTTTTGCTGGATGCACCCTTTTCTCCAATGGGAAGAGTTTGAAGTTAGAGCACTTTGTATCGGTCAAACAGCGATGGTTAAAACTTTGATCCTGCACCAGCTGCACCGCATTGCTTCGCAGAACTGCGATGCCAGAATCTGATCGGCGATCGAGGATATCGAATAAATATTCTAGCTTAAGGGATACACTGGCAATCATTCTTGGTCATCGGGGGCAGCTACCAAGTTCTTATGAGCTAAATTCAAAGGGCTGTCTCAACCTGGTGCCAAAAGCCGGCTTTCTTTCTATTTGTTATCAGAGTGTGAAGGAATGATGGAAATCATGAGTTCTGGAACAATGTTACATATGTTCTAATTCTTTTAGGCAGATAAAAGGAGATTTATAGAGATTTCTGTGGTGTAACAAAGTACAGGTCTTGGATGCATTACCTTATAGATCATAATAACCATTTATACGTGGACATTGATATTGTCATGGACCTGAATAGATTTGGTCATTGCCACCATTTTCTGATCTTTATAATGCTTTCTCAGGTAAAGTGACCCTGTATAACCCCCTTTTTTCTTTTTATGGGGTTCAAATCATCTAACAAGTGGCAATCAATATCATCAATGATCTTTACTTTGTTTTCAAAGTAAAAACACTTTCAAAATCATTTTTTTGTTCTAAAAATTTGTGGTTACAAGCCTCCCAACAATCAATGCCCTGTTCTTCACGTTTCAGGTTTGTCTTTTCTCATGAGAATTGCATTCATTCTTCAGGTAAAAGCTTACAAACCAAAGCACTGTCACCCACACCATTATGCTACACTTTACGGGAAAATAAATGATCTTATTGATAATCTCATTGCTGATGGAATAGTCATTGCAGTTGGTACTGACGTACCGGGTGATGGATGCTTGATGGACCTGTCATTTCTATTAATATCAGAGAAGCCGTAGTGAAACTGTTATCTGTAAGGGAGGAGAGAGAGAGAGAGAGAGAGAGAGACTATTCCACCATTGACTTGCGACCGGAGGAGGCGATGGAAGCAGCAAGACAAGAGGAAGCTCAAGATGTGGTGGTGGTGGTCGTCCCCCTACCGGCGCAGAGCCACCTGGCCCAGCTCCACCATTTCGCCCTCCTCCTCTGTGGCCGCCCCGGCCTCTCCGTTCACTTCGCGACCTCCGCCACCCACATCCACCAGGCCAAATCCAGGGTCAACCCTGCCTGGGGCGGAGACTCCCGGCTTCACTTCCACGAGCTCCCCATCCCTGCTTTCCCTAGCCCGCCTCCTGACCGAAACTCCACCACGACCAGGTTCCCTGCCCACCTCCAGCCCATGTTCGACGCGTTCGAGCACCTGGACGAACCGATCTCCGTCCTCCTCCGCTCCCTCTCCGCCTCCTCCCGCCGCGTCGTCGTCGTCCACGATTCCCTCGCCTCCTTCGCCGCAGTCGAGGCCGCCGCCCTCCACAACGCGGAGTCATACAACTTCAGTTGCCTCCCGGCCCTGTTCCAAGTCTTCTACGATCGCCCATCGGCCGCCGACGAGCTGAGAGATCGCGGCTTGGCCCTCCCTCCCTTGGACGGCATCATCACCGAAGAGTTCGGGGCCTTTGCAAGGCGCCGCATGGACGAGAACACTTCCAGCGCCGGAAGGCTGCTCAACACCTGCCGCCCTATCGAGGGCGAGTTCATTGACCTTCTAGCTCGGGAACCTAAGCATCGAGACAGGAAGATTTTCACCCTCGGGCCACTGAGTCCGATGGCAGTCATCGACGGAGGCCGCCGTCGACAGCCACACGAATGCCTATATTGGTTGGACAAGCAACCGCCAGCGTCGGTCGTCTACGTCTCTTTCGGGACGACTACTGCGATGGCGGACGAGCAGGTGGAGGAACTGGCGAACGGGCTGTTGCTTAGCGGGCAGCGCTTCGTCTGGGTGGTCAGAGACGCCGACAGGGGAGACATCTTCGCCGCCGAGGACAACGGACACGTCCGACGGATGGAGCTGCCACCGGAATTCGAACAGAAGGTGGCAGGGACCGGACTGGTGGTGCGGGGGTGGGCGCCGCAGCTGGATATCCTGTCGCACCCGGCGACGGGCGCGTTCGTGAGCCACTGCGGGTGGAACTCGTGCATGGAGAGCTTGTGCATGGGCGTGCCCGTAATAGCGTGGCCCATGCACTCGGACCAACCGACGATCGCGGCGCTGGTGACGGGGCACCTGAAGGCGGGCGTCACGGTCGGAGAGTGGACGCCTCGGGCCGACAAGGTGACGACGCGGGCGGTGATCGAGGAGGCGATCAAGCGGGTGATGGTCTACGACGAAGGGAGAGAGATAAGAGAACGAGCCAGGGTTATAGGGGAAGCTGTGAGGGAGGCGATAGCGGAGGGAGGAGCTTCACGAGCCGAGTTGGATGCCTTCGTTGCGCACATTACCAGATGATGCAGCTGTCTCTGCTGAGATTGGCATCCGAGGTTGTTTAGTTTCTGAGTCATGTTGACCATACCGTGTGGAATAAGGTCGCCGCCTCCTACCCGAGTGATCGTTGGTGGAGTTCAGGCGTCGGAAACTACCTTAGGGTAGAATTGTGTTGCCGATGGCAACGTCTCCTTTTATGGTGCGTCGAAGGATGTTCGAGTCGTCCTGTTTTAATTCCATGTCGTTCATGTCCTTTTCTTAATCATTGCGAACTATGAAGTGTGTCTGTGTGTGTGATGTAGCATTTGTGGGCGATGTTTGCGAGGAGGGATTTACGCGTGGGACCCTTGTACACAAGTTTCTAGGCGTACACGTCATAGTTTTTGTGGGAGGAACACCCTGGTTCATGTCTCCGCCAAGGCAGAGGATGGCGTTTTGTTGCTGCGTGGTGTGCCGTTTCCTTTCTCTTTTTGCAGAGAGAGGAGAGCGAGAGGGCTCAGAGGAGTCGGGCCTCGACACCGCCGCGTGCCATTTGCACTCTTGCTGCGCGCGCTCTCCCGCCCTCTTCCACACCAGCATTTCCTCGAGGGTTCCGCGGCGGAGCAGTTCGCGGAACTGGAGGCCGCAGCTTCCGACAAAGGCCCCATTCCGTGCCGCTGTTTTCTGTTGCCATCCTTGGATTATTTTCACGGAGCGCGGGCGTACGAGGAGGAGGAGGAGGAAAGGAAGGGTAAGAGGTGGTTTTCTTTTGTTCATCTGCAGGTCCTTGTCAACTCCTCATTTCGTATTCTAGCCATGGGTGGAACTCCGCGCCCCGACCTGGTGGGCACCGCTCCCCCGGGCTTCCCGCCGTTGCCGAAATCGGCAGCGAGCTCGGCAGCGCCTTCCGACGGCGCCAGCTCGGTGACATGCTCGGTGGAATCGTCCCTCCCTGGTGGCGGTTTCGGCGCGATAGCGGGCCAGGAGGAGCCGGAGGAGGCGAAGCCGCGAGGGTATGGGTGCGATGGATCCGAAGCTTCCATACATGAGCGGCGAAGAGGCAGACCGCCGGGCAGTCGGCGGCTTGGTGAGTAGAGAAATCTCTCCTTCGATGGAATCTTGCATTGTTCCGTGACTATATCGAACGAAATGGTGATTAGTGGTTGCACTGCAAGCATTAGTGTTTGGGAGTGATTCTTCCCGACTCTTGTAACACTGTGAGGCCATTTGGAATGTTAACTATCAGGTGTTCGAGTAAATGCTCGATTATTGGTTATTCGTATTCCTGGTGGCAAAAATCCTCATTTTTGAAATTTTGGTGAATCCATTGCCACCGTAGCAAAGCTGAACTAAAGAAGACTAAGGGGAACACCAGTAACACCATAAAAACGAGTAGACTTTCGATTTTTTGTGCATTCTCGTGAAATAGTTGTCAATACCATCAGACACAGTGACATTCTGGTGTTATTATAATAGTTTTTTCTTTGATTTACCCTCTGTCAGACTATGTGATTTAGTTAAGTCTCAATGTCCTGTAGTTCTTTGTTCTTAACATGCTTTGGTGAATTGGAGGATCATGAATTTTCGCATACTATAAACTCACATAGTTATAATTTGTTGAATGGGTTGTAAAAGGTTCTCCTTTTTCATAATGATCGTGTTTCTGGTAGAGATTGCATGTTTTAGAAAGTCAGGGTTTTGGGTAAAAGCTGACCTGTTACTGATCTGCATACCACATGCAACCTTTGACAATCTCCATCTTTTCAATTATCTGTTAGTAAGTAATTCAGGGCAGAGTTGATGGGTTTAAATCGCTGTGCTTAATTCTGTCAATATGTGCTTTAATGCTGTGTTGTTGCACTCACCTTTATTGATTAAAGGGCATGTGTTCTGCATTGACTTTTATTTTTTATTAGGCAGGCAATGAGATACTCATAAAATCTCTTGGTACTCTACATCTAGGATGCAATCTATAATACTGAATCTTAAAACTTTTGCCTACCACCCTGCAACAGGTGAATGGATTGTTACTTCAGCTGGAGTTGGTTTTACTCCCCATGTCATGATGATTGCAGTAGGTGAGGTATGAATTCTATGGCTTCATTTTTATCATGTGTTGCCTCTTTCCTCTCGGATATCTTTTTTTTTTTGTTATAAATGTGCGGTGTGGTTCCTATTCAGCATATCCAAAACTGCCGCTGAGAAGCTTGTACATGGTGCATTACTTTATGTCAAACAAGTTTATGGCTGGGAATTCATAGAGTTTTTGTGTGAGATCTATTTGTTACATGGTATTGGTTATTTTATATGTATATATATAAATTGTTTGTCTGTTTGTCATGCATGCTTTTGCTGCACAAAGCATACAGGTATATGTTTAGTCCTAAATTCCCATGCTGTTGATATAGAAATATTTTATATGGCTATGACAATCATCATACTTATAAATGATCTAGTTTCCACTGTAGATTTTCCAAAGGTTGTCAAATGGATGTGATCCCTTAAAGGTCCTTGACTTTATTGCAACAAATTACATATCAATCAAGTCGTGCTTGGTTAGAGAATATGGAACATTTTTTGTTGTATTTATTTCTGAAGTAATGATTTTTCTAAAAAAATATGTTTAGAGCAACAAAATCTATAATAATCAGATGAGGTAAAGAATTTGAACAAGTCTAATGCATACAAACTGGGTATGTGGTATGGTAGCAGAGATGAAACAGAAAGAAAATTAGTTACTTCATTTGCTTTTTATGTGGAGAAAGAAATGCACAACACTAATAGCAAAGTTTTGGAGGTCAAGTGAATCTTTATTTTCATTTGTGTGTATGCGTGACAACTGACATCTGAGAGAGAGAATTTGGAAGTAGATGGCTGAAATGCATGGTTGGGAAAATAAGGAAGTTCTGCAAGAGAATAACCTAAGCTAAATATAGCATGAAGAAAGGAATTTTTGTGGTCGGTTGAATCCTGGGTTACTAGTGATACAGATTAAATATTTTCCAATAATACAAATTAATAATATTTTCTAGTTGGTGTTTAGAGGAATACAAATATAGTTATGTTGAGGGTTTCAGATGCAGAAGTTGTAAGAACTGCTATTAAAAATTGGTGATTAATATGATCATCTTCATTCTCGTGCAGAACATTTCAGAGAAGATTATGTCATTTTCAAAGCAGGGACCCAGGGCTGTTTTTATCCTCTCAGCATATGGTGCTGTGTCCACAGTTACGCTTCACAAGCCTGGAACTTCTGGCATCATGGTCACTTATGAGGTCAAATTTTCATTTTTTAGATATTCCTTCATCAGGTATTTTTTTTTCTTTTCCATTTTTTGAATTCCTTTTTAGCATTTCAAAGCCTGATATATTTGGTACTAAATGGAAGATATATTTACAAATCTTTATCTACTGAATAGAAACCTTTGAAATGTACGCAAGTGATGAAAGTAGACTCACCTTAGTCGTCAGCATCTGGATGAAATTGATTGGTGATTAAATTGTAAAAAAAGCTGTCAATGCCAGCGATATGTTTTTAGCATTCAAAGAGCAAACTTCCATTTTGTTAGTGATTAAATTGCACTACATTTCATTACTAACAGGAGATATCTAATGCCTGCCCATATCTGCCAAATATATGAATTTTTAGTTTTGCATATCAGGAAGTTGTCATTGCTAGTTTGCACTGCAGGTAAGTGCCACTAAAATTGATCTGTGTTTGGAAGTGAATATGGATTTTAGTGTATTTGAGTTTGCACTGTGTATCACATGTTATTTGTCTCTTACGATTACTTTGGTGATTACATGCTGCAGTAATTTGTAATTGTCTGAGTTGTCCTGGATCGACTCAATAACAGGATAGCTTCAGCTGTCTAATGCTGTTTGAGAACTTTTCTGTCTTAAACTCTTTCATTTCAGTCATGGTCCAAGGTCCAATTTTTATAACTATGTAATGGGGTTTGGCAAATTATATAGGGCCTTTTTGAGATACTTTGCTTGTCTGGACTGTACTTGCCAACAAATAATGATGGATTACATAGCCAAAGTAGAGGGCTATGCATCTCTCTTTCTAGTCCTTATGGTCGAGTGATTGGTGGACTTGTCGGTGGATCACTCATAGCTGCCAAACCTGTACAGGTAAATTACTTTGACCCTAGCATTAGAATGTTTAACTTTTTGGTCTTCTCCATCAGCATATGCTTTTAGAATGGATTGACTGTGGCTAAGATAACCATGGTATTAGATCTGGAGGTCCTAATTTTTGGGCTCCATTGTTGTGTAATTTTCCTTGTTAGTTTCACGTGTTTAGTGAGCAATCGGTCATCCCAAATCTGAGATAATGTTAAGATATAATTAATAAGTTCTAACCCATTTATTGGCTTGCACTTTTAGTTTTAGATGCACTGATAGCGATTAAACATTTAGTCGTGCCAAGGATTTCAGTTATACTTTGTTTATTATAATTGGAACTCATATTATTTCATTCCGCTACTTGGTTGTATGCATCGAGGCATTTAGTACACTGTCATATGCATCTTATCTGAACCTAATTCAGAACCAGCTATGCGGCGAAGAACTTAAAATAGTTCTCAGTTGACTTGGCTAAATTTATGCACTTACTTGAATCTTAGTGTTATGGTTCTTTTCTTCCCATTTCATTTTGGAACATCTGGTCCTTAAAATATCAAATAATGCGTTTCTGCTTTCTAGGTGATTGTAGGAAGTTTCATTTATGCTGGATCAAGTGCAAAGGACAGAATAATTACAGAAGATGGAAGGGATGATGTTTCTGAACATCAGATTAGGGATAAACAAGGCAAACCATTCAGCGTGCCTCAAAATCAAGACATTACTCCTAAAATGAAGGGAGGATTGCCTGGTCCATAATGACTCGACCCAAGATTAGCTCTTTGATTTTGCATGTGGCTGCTAAATGGTGATCTTTCAAAAGGAGCATACATAGTGGACCTTGTGGGAGTCACAAGACTAGTAGTGTTTCCTTGCTTAATCGTCTCTTTGATATGTTCTTCTGTAGTGCCCTCGTGATGGTGCAATGTTATGTGGCCACCCTAGTGATCATGTTGGATTGAAGTGAACCAGCCTATCTCGTATTGTTCACTCAAGTTCGATCATGCCTGTGCAAGTAGCATGAATTCCTGTAGATTCTGTGAGCAGATAAATGCAAGTTTGTTTTTTTTTGTGTGTGTTTCTCATTTGGAAGAATAAATGTAAATTTAGGTTGTGGCTTGGGAGCCAAACTGTCATGGGCAGTAGTCATCGTCTCTATCAAGGAAGAACCAGACTGGCTACCATTTCCACTTGTGCTTCCATCCTCCATCGACTCCAAAGAATGTATTCTCTACCGAAAACCCAAGAGACGGAGAAGTGGGGAAGGAAGGGAAGGTATTTTCGTGAGTGAAGGTACAAGGTATCTCCTTTCTCAGACTCTTAAATTGTTTCGATGCTCTTCGACCTCTCCAATCTCCTTCGACATCATGACATTTTCCAAGGTCTGCAGCTGTTGGAAGCTGCTCTACCAGTGGACTTCGTCTTGGGGGAAGAAGAACGCGGAGTCAGATGGCAGTCAGCCCCCGGCCCCTGACGAGACCTCGCACGCCAGGAAGCCCTCGGTGGTAAATCTACATTTTTCATTGTGTGACCACGCAATTCCAGATTAATCCAAGAAACATGGGATGACAGACGTATCATCTGTGCTCACAGATGCGGAAGAATCTTGTGCGTTGCTTATTAGGTTGCTGTGTTGGGTGCAGGTCTACACCTGCGGACCTTGCGGTGGCGCCGGCGGGAGCGAGAGGAACATGGGTGCAGATCCCGCCACTCGCATCCTAAAGGTGATGGTTCGCCATGGGCTTGCCGTGGACGCCATTAGAATTCTGTACCGGCGCGACGGCCGCGACGAGTGGACCGACTGGTGGGGGGGAAGAGGAGGGCAACTTTCCGAGGTCAAGTGCCCAAAACCCTAATCATTCTCCACCTCCTTCTGTTCTGTTCCCCCAACTTATCAGCAACCTTTCAGTTCATCTGCGTATGCTTTGGTCATGCATGCAGGTCGTTCTGGATGATGAACGCGATGAATACTTGGCATGCCTAAGTGGTCGATATGGCATTTGCGGCGGCTACCTGGTGATAAAGTCGCTGACTTTTGCCACCAACAAGAGGACGTATGGGCCGTTCGGGGTGGAAGATGGTGCTCCTTTCAAGTTGGATGCAGGAGGTCAAAGGATCGTGGGGTTCTTCGCCCGCGCTGGCCAATTCCTCGACGCCATCGGGGTTTATACAGCTTGACGATCCATGGCTGCCTTCTCCTACCTCAGACTTCTCATCCAAGTTGTGTTTGTACTCTGCTATCATATTATATAATACATCAAGACATCAATGTTACCAGTCTCGGCCGAGGCAGAAGAGCCAATCCCATTCCGGATTGACCTTATCAACTTTGAGGAAGAACACTATGATTATTAAGATTCATATGAGGAACCACCTCAAAATTAAGAGGACAGTAACAAAATAAAAGGAATACAAGGAGAACATTAAAAGGGGGATGCAACTGCTGTTTGATATATTCAATAAGGGGTGAATTGATCCATCTATCCATGAATTTTTGATGCAAAAAAAGTTAAAATAAGCATGAAAAATCATGGAAGAGTTTGACAACATGGCAAAGTAATTGAAATTGTTAATCAGATTATAAGTGTTGGAGATATTATTGAAGATAAAAAAAGGTTGGTTGCAAAGTTCTTACAAGTCTTCCTGCCATGTTGTAGTAGCAATAGAAGAATCAAAGAATCTGTCCACTTTACTTTTCTTGAATCGATGAGTTCTCTTCGAGTGAGTGCAGGAGGAAAGAATGAACAGATCATCTTCCAATCAACCTGTTGAATAAGCATTTCAGTCGAAACTGAATTTTTCATAGAAGAATCTAAAATATAAACTCTAATGGAGGATCATTTAACAAAAAGGAAAGAGGACAAAAGCGACCAAAGTTACCAAAAGAAAGAGTATCAACAAAAAGGTTCAAATTCAGGTTGCAGAATTCGCAAGAAGACCAATCATGAGTCAAAAGATTGTAGATCCAGATGTAAAAGGTGTCCCAATCATTCTCAAAGAGATTGTTGGTTTCAAAAGAAGAATGATAAACAGCAGGCAAACTTCAATTAAGAATGAAACCAAACAATTCTTCTCTTGTATGAATGTTTAATAAGAAATATAAAATGTGTGGTATTTGGACAATGTTTAATAAGAAATATAAAATATAAGGACAATGCGGTCTGCTAAACTCGATCGTCGAAGATCTTGGGACCCCATTGGTCAGGGCATCTACATGTTAAGACGCCTTGGCTACTACTAGCATCTAGATAGCTTAGGGCAATTCTATCGAGATTTACGGTGTCATTAACTATTGAGGGATGACGGGTACTAACTAAGTCAATTGTGAGAGTAGGGGCAAGGCCAACTACATCATCCCTATCAATGTCTGAACATATTGAGCAAGGTTTATGAAAACTTCGATCGACACTAGTATATGGGTCAATGTCACTGTTAGAGGAGAGAGATTAGGGTCATTGAACATACACCAATATTACATAAGTGTTTAGACTAAGGTAGTGGCATCAATGGTTAGAAAGGTCGATTGTTGACTTTCCTTGTTGGTAGTGGTGCACCCTCACTTGAGTGCTCGTTAAGTGGGTCTGTAGTGTGGTGCTCTTGCAATATGAGACCCTCTTTCTAGTGCAAAAATAATAAGGATGATAGTCGATGACATCTCTATCAATTTGACACAGTCCAAAACAACGTGTACAAAGTTTGGAAGTGCACATATGATAGTTCGAGTACTCATATGCTTGCCGACCTACAAGAAAATCGGACTAGGGTGAGGGTGTCCAATCCGATTCCTCCGATACTTAAGTTAGAGCCAAAATAAGATATGAATTCATGAATGAATTTGATCTACATTATAGTAAATAGATAGGCCATAGGTTAAGCCTAAGAAAATATTATATAGTATGTGTCAAATATTTCCTTCTAAGATTATTATTGTTGCTAGGTTTAGGTGATTGCCACATGTCTTAATTCATGCATAGCTTCAATTGAGGGTGAATTTTCCTCGTTTAGTGTCATGAATTTTGGCATCCTATACTCATATTATTATTATTTATTAAATGGGACGTAAAGGGTTTCGCCTTTTAAATGATAATAGTGTTTGATGAAAATTGCATCGGACATGATCTTATTAGTTGCTGCTTGATTAACTATCCTTAGGCAAAACTTCTCGTCTGATGTTAGAATCGGTAATCACATACCTGTGATCACTCATTATTAGTTATTTAACATATATTTATTACACATTATTAGTCATTTAACATATATATATATATATATATATATTATACGTAAATATTTTCCAATAATATTAATTGAGAATATTTTCTAGTTGGTGTTTAGAGGGATATACATGCTTATAAATATATAGCTATGTCATGGGCTGAAAGTATTCGTCGTCTCTATCAAGGAAGACCAGAGCTTTAAAATTCGCACTTTGTATTATTTCCACTTGTGCTTCCTTCCATCCTCCATCAACTCCTCCAAGTATTTATTCGCTTGCTTTCTCTACAGGAAAGCGAGGGAGAAGCGGGGAACGAAGGGAAGATAATTTCGTGAGCGAATGTACAAGGTATCTCCTTTCCCAGACTCTCAAAATTTGTTTTAGTGCGCCTCAACCTCTCCGATCTCCTTCAACGTCATGGCATTTTCCAAAGTCTGCAGCTGTTGGAGGCTCCTCTACCAGTGGACCACGTCTTGGGCGAGCAACAACTCGGAGTCAGATGGCACTCACCACCCTGACAGCGATGAAACTTCGGACGCCATGAGGCCCTCGGTCGTAACTCTACACTTTGTTGTCGTGTGATGTTTAGTTCATTCTGTGACCACACGATTCCAGATCAATCCAAGAAACATGGGATGACGGACGTCTCATCTGTGCTCACAGATGCGGAAGACGCTGATTAGGTTGCTCTGTTGGGTGCAGGTCTACGTCTCCGGACCTTGTGGTGGCGCCGGCGGGAGCGAGAGGGACATGGGTGTAGGTCCCGACACTCGCATCCTGAAGGTGATGCTTCGCCATGGGCTCGCAGTGAACGCCATTAGAATTATGTATCATCACGACGGCTGCAACGGGTGGACCGGCTGGTGGGGGGGAACCGGAGGGCAACTCTCCGAGGTCAAGTCAAAACTCTAATCATTCTCCACATCCTCCAGTTTCTTGGCAGCCTCTTCCCGACAGCAGCTGCAGCATAGAGCTGTTACGTTCATCCCTGTATGTTTTTTGCGCATGCATGCAGATCAATCTGGATGTCGATGGCGATGAATCCTTGACATGGATAAGTGGTCGATATGGCTTTTTCCGCGGCGAAATGGTGATAAGGTCGCTGACTTTTGGCAGCGACAAGAAGACGTATGGGCCGTACGGGGTGGAAGATGGTTTTACTTTCGATTTGGATGCAGGAAGTCAAAGGATCGTGGGGTTCTTCGCCCGCTCAGGCCAATTCCTCAACGCCATCGGGGTTTATACAGCTTAGCGATCGATATAATTCGTCTCATAAGATCGTCTCTGTACGAAATTAATTCTAATATCTGATAATAAATAAAGGTCTTTACCTCAATCCAAATTCCGTACTGTTCCTCTTATTTGGAAAGGAAATGGAGATCCCAAAAACCTGTAAGTAAACCATATAATATGTCAACGCATGAGATAGATAGTCTCCGTACGAAATTGATTCTAATATCCGAGAAGAGGTTTTTTTGCCTCGATCCAAATTCCTATCGTCAAGTAGTCTCTTACTTGGAAACAAGTGATTCCTTCTGTAACTCAAACTATAAGATGAGTCCATGGATATGGTATTATCAGAGAGGCACAGAAGAGAAGTAACCCTATCCAAGGGAGAAAGTTTAGAGAGAGAAGAAGAGGTAAAAATTCTCATCACCTCAAGTTCTTCTCTTAAGTGTTAGGTTTTGTTCATCACCATCAAACTCAGCCTCAGCCTCAGCCTCAGCCAAGGTTATAATTTTTTTTATATATTAAAAAATATATTTTTCTAAGAGAAATTACATGATGATGATGATGATGATGATGATGATGATGATTTCCAATGATGAAATAGAAAATAGAGGTAATTTAAATAAAAAAGAGAATCAAATATCATGAATTAAGATTATAAAAATTGTAAATAAAGAGTTCTGGACATTATCTTTTTTCATTTTTTTTTAAATTATTAAATTATTACTCATTAAAAGTATATGTCAATATGAAACTCATGTTATAATTTAGGGTTTAGGGTTGATACAGAGCTCTTATCTGTAAATTTTGATTCTCTTTTTTCTTTAAATTACCTCTAGTTTCTATCTCATTTTTGGAAATCATCATCATCATCATCATCATGCAGTTTCTCTTAGAATAAATAATAAAAAAACCCCACCATTCAAAGAATCAAAAACATTTTGAAGTCATTACAACAAGCACAAATAAATAAAATTTATTTATTTATGCACCTTTTAGAGGCAAAAAAAAAATGTAGATATATGCCAAATTTCCTACTTTTGTCCTGCAACCTACAGTAGACATATACTAAGAAAAAAAATAGTATACCCAAATAACTCTTATATACTTACTCAGATGTTCATGCATTTTTCATGTGGAACTAAATCGGAATGTTATATGCTAATTCGGATCTTCATACCTATCTATATATATGATGTAGAACTAAACTGAAAGAAATGTTCACATGTAGTATTCTCACTTGATTTCTTTTTCTTGGACAAGAAGAAATATAATCTCCAGAAAATTGCAATCTGTTGCAGTGTAACCCCAAAACATGAGCTCAACAGCTCCTCCATATGAGCCACAGCATCCACTCTACAGTGTGTGTGTGTGAAGAAAGCATTCTGCAGGCCACCTACATGGAACGAGCATGTTGTGTCATTCAAGCTTCAGATTTCATGATTTGGTATCCCTCGGTAGACTAAATTTTCATGTGTATGTAAGCTTCTTTGATTGTATTCTCTGATGCTTGTAAAGAAGGTGTTGGTGCTCGAGATACCGGCCATGGCTGGTTGATGATGTCCATGGTACTCCCTTTCTAACTTATGATCTGCCTATCTAACTATTTCTTAGTTAGAAGGCCACAAGTTTTGGAGTTATATGACACCATCAATTAGCTTCATCGTTCTGTGACTTCAAATGGTGATTGTTTTGCTTCACAGACAATGATTCGTTGCGTTAGGTTGAATTTATGTAAGTTTGCCCAAAAAAAATATATGATGTTAATCTACCATGTTAGAGAAACATTTGCTGATATGTTTCAGAGTATTCGGCAGCACCAAAGACTTTTGCTGATATGTTGTGTGTTTCATGGAAACTCTAGAAGAGAATCTGCAGGCATTAGAATTATATGTCACCTAAAATTGTACATATTTCACTCCAGTATTAAAATTGACATGGAATACCTAAAAATATTTTTTCAAAAAAAAATTCAAGACAATCATATAGGACTAACCAATCCAATTGTAATTAGAATAATCAATGATTATCATATGGAACTAATTCAGCAAGAATTATAATGTTGTTATGCTTGCTTTTAATTCATTCATGAGGGTACCAGGCAGAACAATAAACCGGCAAACCAATTGTTCTTGAGAAAATTCAGTATTCAACTCTAGGGAAGAAAAAAAAAATTCAGAACATCAAGTCTATAAAAAATTTACCAATTCAGTAATGCAACAACTTTCAAATTAATGGGCTCCACATAATATTAAGAGGAAAAAAAATTCTGATATATGTTGATGTTGTTAAGTCCCTTTAAGCTGCCTCATTTTACTTGATTCAGATTAAAAACAGAGGCAAATGATATGAGAACTCGATGACCAAATGCTCACAAGATGTACAACTTCAGGCAATAAATGCATGAAACTTCTGAGATGTTCAATCTCCATTCAATTACTGTCATGAATTAATTGAAAAAGGAACAAGAAATTTACAAGGAAAAATGTTGTATCAACTTCAACTGTACAGTATGTGTCTCTTCCGACTATAATGATATGACAAGCTCTGTCCATGCCAAAGAAGAATCCGTGAGAGCAGGAATAATGGTGTTGTTGACACCATCTGATGGTCTCTTTGATGATTGGTGTTCACAACTAATGAAATCAGAGCATAGTTATTAATAAGATTTATTTTCTAGCAGTAATATTTATTACAAACATAATAAGTGAAATTAGAACTCGCTCCACGAACATTCATGCGATTCTTATCAATACAGGGATCCAAAATGATACAGATCAAATTTATTATGAACACAGTTAATATCATCTTCTCTATTATTATTGCAAAGAAATTGAACTGTTTCTATTTAAGCCTCCATATTTGATACCTGCCTAAAACACTTATCTATATGCTTGGTAGGTTGAGCTCATCGAACGTGGATTTAGCATAGGATTGCATCTTGATGATTAGTTCTTCAGATTGGTAGTGACAGATGTGGTAGAACAGGAAGTGCAGATGTTGGTATAGTTGCACACACCTCCCTTGTACTCTTCCTTTCAATTTCCATGTAATCGGCTCGTATACTAACATTCTTCCCCTCCATCTTTTGTACAAAAAGAGATGGAAAATGTTAGAGTATCATAATTTTTTCAATAAATTAATTATCATTTGACTGTGTCATTATTTTTTTTTTCTTGTTGATTTTGTACCATTTGTATGGACTTATCAATTTACGCACCTACTAGCAGAGAATCGGTCTATTTTTTAAAGTTTTGCAAGATAAAAAAAGTCAATGAACAAACACAAAAATAGACATAAATACGATTGGACAAGTACTACAAAGACCACTGATAATTTTGGTTGGACAAAAAGATATTATCGTAAAATTGAACAGATACCAATAAAGGAATCAAAGATAAAAACAATCACAATTTACCAAAAATATTTTCAGAATATCATATTATCATATTGGTGTGTCAAAACTGGCTTCTCCGCAACTACCTTAGTATTTTAGTTTAGGCTATCTTTCTTGTCTACGCCATTCTCAAGCCTTTTATTAGTATAGCAGAATTTGTATATTGATCACTTTGATACTATGGCATTGCCTGAACATTTAACTCAAAATATTTATGCAAAAAAATAAATAGTATACCCAATTAGCCCCATACACTAACTCAGTTTTTCACGCATATTTCACATGGAACTAAACTGGAATCTCATATACTAATTCAGATCTTCACGCGTATTTGATCTGAAACTAAACTGGAGTATTTACGATATGCAGTGCAAATATAAGCATCTCCTGAGGTTTCTAAAAATGAAGATAATTGTAAAACCTGTGTTATTATTGACAGAACAGAGAGGCAAACTAGAAATAACCGAAAGAAATGTCCGCATGTGCTATTCTCATCTAATTATTTTTTTCTTGGACAAGAAGAAAGAGAATCTCCAAAAATGTGTAATCTGTTGCAGTGAAACCCCAAAACATGACACCATGAACTCAACTGCTGCTCTATATAATCCACAGCACTGCTGCAGCAAACATCCACATTCCCCCACTCTGCTCTAAACCGTGTGAAGAAAGCATTCTGCAAACCAGCTACATCAAACTAGTACGTATCGTTCAAGCATAAGATCTCATGTTTTAGTATTACTTGGTAGAATAAGAGTGTTGTTGTATGTGTCAGCTTCTTTGATTTTATTCTCTAATGCTTGCAAAACAGGTAGTGGTGCTCAAGATCCCCACCATGGATGCTGCTGCTGATGTCCGAGGTATCATTTAACTTTATCGATTTGTGGTTTTAAATGGTGATTATTTTTGCCTCATAAATAACAATTCATTGCATTAGGTTGCAATTTTTAAAGTTTTCCTGTTAAGAATTGGAATTGATGAGAAACAAATATGTGATGAGCCTACAATGTCGGAGAATGAAAATTTTGCATTCAAAGAAAATTGTAGAATGTGATTCAGATGAAGATTAGCGAGAACCTTACTGTCAAATTATGTGAAAGAAAGCTATATGGGTTATGGCTTTGACCTTAATATTGCTAGGTGAATGTAACAGTTCCAACAGTTCGGCTTTTGTACATGATGCAATGAGATGTGTTTTTGGGTTCAGGAGCTGTACCTTTAGTTGCTGATGATAAGGAACAGAAGATGGACATTGCTGCAATCGGGAAGAAACTGAAGAAATTTTCCATGAACGACTTGGGATCAGTTGGACCAGTCAAAGAAGAAGAAAAAAAAGGAACATACGAAGAAGAAGGAACATATGATGAAGGAGAAACAGATGAAGAAAAAGAAATAGATGACAAAGAAGAAACAGATGAAGAAGAAGATGACAAAGAAGAAACAGATGACGACGACGACGACGATGATACAGATGTGGATATAATAAACTGAGTACTGATTTCAGAACATGTTTTACTGATCCCAATATGATCTGTCTCAGACTGTCAATAAGCAAGGCATTTATCTTGGAATAAATCCAACTTGTTGATTCCTGTTTTGTTCTTCTGACATTTTACTGGATCAACTCTTTTTACATGATGAAATGCCTGTCTGTGTGGAATATATATTAGACTTGATTCATATAAAAAACAAGAGGCAAATGATATGAGAATTCGATGACCAAATGCTCACAAGATGTACAACTTCAGGCAATAAATGCATGAAACTTCTGAGATGCAAGAAGGTTCTTTTCTTTTCTCATCTTTTCAATCACAGTCATGAATCAATTGAAAAAAGGAACAATGGTGTATCAAAATTCAACTGTATAGTCTGAGTATCTTCCAACTATGATGATATGTGGAGCTCTGTCCATGCCAAAGGAGATTTCTCGAGAACAGCAAAAATGGTGATGTTGATGCAATCTTCTAACACAGCAGCCATTATCTCCATTGATGTCTTTTTGATGGTTGGTGTTCTAAAATTTATCTATCTTCTAGCAATAATATTTATTATAAATATAATAAGTGAAACTAGAACTAAATTGACGAACATTTCATGAGATTCCTATCGATATGGGGATCCGAAATGATACCGGTTGAATTTATTATGAACAAGATTAACATCATCATTTCTGTTATTATTGCAAGCAAAGAGAACTGTTTTTTATTGAGACTTCATTCATCTAAGTAGTAAAAGAACAATCCTCAAGCCTCCATTGCTTGCTAGGTTGAGCTCATCAAATGTGGTTTTCGCATAGGAATGCCTCTTGATGATTAGTTCTTCAGATTCTGATCTGTTTTTTGTTCTTGGACAAGAGGAAAGAGAATCTTCAAAAAGGTGTGATCAGTTGCAGTGTTAACCCCGAAACCAGACGCCATGAACTCAATAGCTTCTCTATATAAAGCCACAGCCATGCTCTACTCTACAGTGCGTATGAAGATGAAGAAACTAGTATGTGTCATTCAAGCATCAGATCTCATGTTCTGGCATTCCTTGATAGAATAAGAGTGTTGTTGTACATGGAAGCTTCTTTGATTGCATTCTCTAATGCTTGTAAAGAAGAAGGTTCTGCTGAAGATCCCGGCCATGGTTGATACGGGGACGCAGCAAAAAAGTCGTGTATGCTGTTGCCGATGCCCATTGACATAGTATCAATTGAACTGGTTAAAGAAGAAACAGAAAAAGAAGAAAAAACAGATGGTGCAGAGTGAAAATAATCGCAGTAATAAACCGAGTAATGATGTTAGAACATCTTTTGCTTATCCCAACATAATCTGTTTCAGACTTTCTATAAGCAAGAAATTTGTCTCGCAATAACACCGGCTTGTTGATTTCTGTTTTGATCTTCTCGTTTGTAACCGGGTCAACTCTAGTTACATAAGTGATATGGAGGACAAAAACATATCAGGATGAAGATACTGCACTTAGGTCACAGAACAAATACATTACTGTTCGTATAAAAAACATCCTTTAAACAATGCAACTAGTGACAGGTAAACATTTGATTCCCTCATGCAAGGTGGACAATCACATTCGGCTGTCCCGACGATCGACCAGAATATGATTGCCATTATCTCTATTAGGTAAAATGTCTGAAACCAGAGGAGATCACTGTTAGAACATTATGGTCATAGAATCTTGAACATTGACTGAATCAAAATCCTTTGTGCCTGCAGATCATGTTGCTTGAATATTAATTACTTTTTAAGTGATAGGAGGAACCACAAGCAATGTCTACATAAGTATAATTTGAATTACACAATTCAGGTTTTCAGGAACTTGTACTGAAAAATCGTGTGGTTGAATCCAATGAAAGAGTTAAATACCCAACAGGTCTCTGTAAATTGGTTCAGAATCTTGTTGAGCTTTTGCACCAAGATAAAGCTCGGAAATTTGCACAAAATTATGTCTGGAAATTTCAAGATAAAATGTTAGAACAAATTCTTGTTTTTCAGTGTGCTCACACCAGGAAGGACTGCTGATCTTCCACACTTCCTGCATATCTATAAGGACGATTGTTACCGAAGGATCGAGTAAGTGATGAATTCTTTCGAAGTAAAATGAAATGGTTGAAGGGGAACAGGGTTCCTGTAATACAGCATACCATGGCAAACCTTAGTGCATGAAAATGGAATAAGAAAAGCAACAGTGTACAGTAATTGTGGACTCACGGTCGAGGCCCGTATATTTTGACTTGACGTATGTGTGTGTCCCTTCCATTCAGATGATTGGATAAAACAGCAATTTGGAGCATAAAAGTATGAATAAAGGTTTCCCTGCAAGATGAAAGGACAATTTAGTGCAGTTCTAATTCACAAGTTTGGATACTCGTAAGATGAACTGTCTTGCTTCCAGTGAAGAGCCTCATTATAAGTGCAGTATCTTCAATCTGACACAGCTGTCCCAGTAGGCAGGTAAAGTTTTGGGTCTGCTTAAATATCTGGCAAAAACATGATATGTTGATTTTTTTTTTGTTGAAATCAGTATGCATCGTTTGAGACTTTGAGTGCTGGAGGTCGCTATTTCAATCAGAAATTTTCAAATTTTGTAATTTCTACAACATGAATCTGTTCCTTTTTCTTTCTGATATATTCATTTAACAATCAAATTATACGGAACATCTCAAGAAATATATATACAATAATAAATAATGACACTTATATGCTGCCTTTTTCATCCATATTGACCAAGTAAAATATATAATAACAAACTTCACATCATACAAGGTTACATGTGCTGATTATCAGATTGCTCCATATAACAATTTCTTGATGTTTGAAAAAAAAATTTTCCCAAAACCCGAGTACACTTAAAGAAAAATTGAGGCTTAAGACATTTTGCTAGGAGTTAATAAGAGGCTTTGTATTGGTCGTTGCCTATCCAAAGGGACACGTAACCTGTCTTCAATTTATTTAAAAAAGTTGAGATAATTTTTTTCTATTATCTTCCACCATTATTCTTCTGCACCTCTTTTTCCTTATTTAATCTTTTTCTGCATCCTAGGGCTATGCAGAAGTTATTCTAACTGATTCACCTACTATGTAAAGAATATTCAACTTATCAGCAAAATGAGAATGATCAACTTGAAAATGTAAAGTGCACTGAATTGACACAAATAACAATGGTATTATAAAAGAGCAAAAAGAAATATTTTAGTATCAAATAAATGCAAAAGCAAGCAAGGAGATTGAAATATCATTAGTGAGACTTACCGGGGATCATTACCAGACAAAGAGATATGGACCCAACCAACTGGCTTCACAAGCTCCACAGTTTTTATCTCCTGTTACACAGGAGTGCAGAAACCAAATTATTCAGTCCAACAGTAAAGTTCAATAATCAGATTATTGACCTATATGAAAATTCAGCTAGTCCCAGTAATTCCAAGATCAGTAAAACTGCTTAGTGGTTCTACAATCATTTTCACTCACTCGATTATTACCAAGGTCTGTAATAACAAACTTTCCATTGTAATGGTAATGTAGAACTTATAACTTACAGAAAGAAAGGAAAAGAACTAAATTGGGAAGGAAGAGACACCTTTAGGTTGTGGAAACCATCACCAGCACGGATTGAGATCTTGCTTGGTGTGTAACTCTCATCCAACTTGAAATCCACATAGAGGACAACCAACTGAGCCAGATGATTCATATCACATTTAACAACAAATCAAGATTAACAAGAAAACAGTGACTCAAACTCAAGCGGTTCCAAATAAAAAAAAGGTGAAGGGACGGACATAGGAACACAACCTGCAGCTTAACCTTCTTCTGAAACTGGATATTGACCAGATGGGGTTGGGCTCCATCCGATCTGAATCAATAAACAAACTGATCACTAATCTATCCACTATAACCAGCAAAAGAAAGATTTCACCAGCAGTTTTTCTCGAGGGTATCCATTTATCATCGAACATATATCAACATTTAAAGCGAAAAAGATTAACTTTTTCATATTCCTCATCGATCTTTTACAAAACTAATCGAGAAAATAATGTTTTCAGTTCTTTCTTCCACGGAAAGGTGGGAAAATGATGCATTGAGAAAGATGAACAGGGGAAGAGTGATTATTTAGCTCCCCAACAGTGTAGTAATTTACTTGAAAACGCGGGTCTTCCATTTAGGGTTTGGTCGATTCGTACAAATTCAAAGAGGGTAAAACGAGGAAAATCGTAACTTTGGAAGATATCGAAAGACACAATGGGGAGAGAAAGAAGGAATTCATCTTAACTGCCAGTAGGTATCGAGGTTCTCGTCGCGGAGGGAGAGGACGCCGTTCCCGGGCTTGCAAGAGCTGACGCTCCACGCGGCCTTCTTCGCCATCTCACGGAGATCGTCGTCAACCGACAGCTGAGGACTCCCCGTCAGCTTCCCCGCGGCCGTCGCTGTCTCCTCTTCCCCGTCCGATTCCGTCGCCATGGCCGCCTATTCCCACCCTTTCTGCAAACGCTTTGCGGAAATCTATTTCAAATCCGTCCTCTCCCGTAACGGCCGATATAAAGTGATATCGCGAAAAACATAAACGGACCAAATTTATCCTTATCCTCCAAATTATATATATATATATATATATATATATATATATATATATATATATTTCTTATAGGAAAAAAAAGTCAACCGCTTTTAATTAAATCTTAGTTGATTGCTATAGATTTTAAATCTAACTTAATATAAGGACAATCGTGATTATATAAAATCTATAAATCTTATCAGAAGATCGATGTAAATAAATAAGTCATCAAATGTTAAGTAATGGTTAAAACTCGCCTATAAATCTTTTGACTCGTCTCTTTTGATCTCTACAAAATCCTCGGGGTCTTGGACGAACTCAAAAAAATTATTACAACGAACAGGGCCTTCCTCGAGAGCGAGATAATATTGACAAAACGATTGCGATATCGTTTTAGTTATTATACATAAATTAAAATAAAATAAAGATGAAGCTAAAGAGTAAGTCACGAGAGAAGATATCAAGGAGAAATCATCTTAATTTAAGTATATTGTGATCAAGAAATAAATAAATAAAAACTAATATGAAGATAGTGTTACAAGGCTGCAGATGTGGGGAGATAAATCTAGATGTAGATGTTAGATATAACAAGGATCCTATTAATAGTGAATAATGTTAGAAAGTTTTCACAAAAAATTCTTAATTTTGGGAGCAATATTCCACTAAGGATGCTTAGATGACAAAAATTGTTCATTTCATTCATCCCTACAAAAGTGGGTCATTTGTGGGTTATCATCCCAAATATTAGTGTTGTAACAACTATTCACAATGATATGAAAATTATCTTTAATATTATTGATAAGCTTATGTATTGATTTGTAGGTAGTACAAGTGTTGTTAAGGATAGTAGAAATTTTGTTAATATTATGAGGGAGGGATCTAAGTGTTTAATATTATGAAGGATAATTTTCTTGACCACAAGAAGGTCCTGAATACTTAAGCCACCCTTGTATCTTACCAAGTGCTTACTTATGCCACCCTTGTACCTCACCAAGTGCTTTGTCGATCAAAGTACTTTGATATCTATCTAGTAGCAGACATTTAGAGAGAGAGAGGTAGGTTCCAACATATTTCAGAAGTCAACTGCCCTCTTTGATGCTTATTACAGATAAAAAGTGTTTGGTGTCAAGATTGTAATAGGAAGGGAAATAAATAGTAGACTTGTCTGACTTTTAGGAAAGTGAGGGATTCAAAAATATCCTGCATCTACTCTTGAACCAATTAGATTGTTCATCATTGATCAAGCAAGGGAGGCAACACAGGCAGCAATGCATAGAATCCAAAAAAACAGAATCAAAAGCCTTTTCCAAATCCAGTTTCAAAAGGACCTATGGAATTCTGTCCTCAGAGTGAATGAATGTTTCCTATTAGATTGTTCAGATTTGATGAAGAGTTACCACAGGATCTATCTCCACAGAAAGGGAAATGAACAGCAAAACAAGATTGCCTGGAAAAGCAGAAACCCTAAGAAGATGAATACACAATTGGAAGTTTTGATATCATCTAATAAAAATGGCCATGGACTCATCGACAAGAAGTAACAACAGGCAACAATCTTTTACTGATGTGAGATTTAGAAAGAGACTGCTCTGTGAATTCAACATAACTGGAAGCACCATATTTCAACAAAGGAAACATATTGCACTCAATGAACAAATTATATGCTATTGATGTACACACTATATTTGCTACAAGTTATAGTTGCCTTGCAAGCCCCAGATATGCCAAGTGATGCATCACAGTGCTTGCCTATACAGAGAACTCATCTCAATGGCACCAAAAATAGGCAAAAACAAAAGGACTAATTCTTGAAAGAATTTTTTAGGGTCCGGATTGTGATCATGAGTTGTTGTCTTTCGCCTTCTACTTCTGCAAACTTCAGGCTCATCTCAGAGTATCTTCCCTGCATTTCTTTCAGTTCAGATTCCATCGATTCATTTTGTCTTTTTAGCACTGCCATTTCACTTAATACATCTGCAGTCCTCTTTTGTTCATATTGATTTGCTTCATCTAAACCAGTTCCAGCACGCCTGCTGAGACAAACACCACAGGTAAGAAGAATGAAATCTTTATTAATTCTCACATAAAGAGTTGCTTGAAATAATTAACCAACAATAGAAGTTCAAACTAGAGCAGGGAAGAGGACAAAAAAATGACAGCAGGTCTTGCATCAATAGTCACCTTATGAGCATTTCTTTATCAGTACCATCTGCATCGTATAAGTGTTCTTTATCTTCCTTTGACTGCTGCAGAAAATCTATACTGCAATTAGCTTCATCTTTGCTAGCATATTTCCAACTCTGACGGAAATGCTTTTCATCCTGCAACAGTTTCTCCTCGATGTTAATCTTCATTTGTTCAAACAGTACACAAGATGGCCAAAATCCAAGTGTTCAATACACATGCATTCATACGTGTCTAAGAATATTGGCATGGGATGATAAATTACAATCAGCCTTGCATTTTGACATTAAGCAGGATCTCATTTACTTTTTCATCAAATGAAATTTGATAACACTTTAATATAAAGTAGGTTAACGAACAAAGTCCAATATTCTGCAAAGATTAAAAACAGCGCCCAAGGTTTTGGACATTTTTCATATTAACATAGACCAAATCCGTCATGCTTAGCTCATAGCTACAGTTTTCTGTATAAGGAAACAAAATCAAAGAAAATTTTACTAAAATAATTTATTGCAATCACCAAATATCTAAATTTATCTTCCTGAGGATAGTATTGGAAGTCAAGAAATTAAGAAAATATGAAATAAGTTCTTAGGCTAGTTTGCACATTTTGAAACGCAAAACCAGGTCAATTTAATAACACTGTTATAAATAATGGATCAATTAATTTAGTACAAATTAAGAATAAAAAATTTCCCGACCTCAGTTTGCAAGCCTTCACAGTAACTCAATTTTCTTATCAAATTCCGATATAGTTCTTTGCATTTCTTTAATTGGATTGCTGAGATCCTTCTTCAACTCTATGGATGAGTCAATTAACATTACTTGTCGCTGATGATGATGCGCATCATGGTAAGTTCAAGACAAATGGCATATGCTAACAAAAAAGATTTGAACAAAACAGGGATGTGCATGCAATATTGTTTATAAGCTAGTGTGTTTTTGTTCTTTTAAATGGCTGTGCATGAGTAAGTGCATGGATACATGTGCTTGCTGAAACAAAAGACTACTGACTCTCTCTGCATTGTGGGTGTGTGCCTGCATCTGTGTGCCATGTGCTACTGAGGGTGGGGTTTATTTCTATGTTCTATGGTACATTACTCCCATCTCCAGTGGTATCATGATGTGCAAAACTAAATCTATCATTCATGTTGTTTTCCTTACATTTGTAGTCGTGCTTGTGTAGTAGTCATCTACTTTTTCCTCCCTGCTGGTCGTCGTCTGTTCCTCCAAAAGAACACCCCTCAAGTGGGAAACTGATTTTCTCAGATTCTGTTTTCCCAACTCAATTTCATCCAAGGCATGCTTCAAGTCACCGTGCTGCATTGTAAGAGTTGTTGCCTCAGATTCCAGCATTGCTATCATAGTATCTTTTTCATCTTTTATCTGTCTCAGTTTATTCATTTCCTCCAATGATTTATTTACTTCTTCCCTCAGTACTGCTATCTCATTCTTAAGCAAATCAATTTCCAAATTTTTATCTTGCAAAGACATCTCGCTTCCTTTAATAGATGTCCTTAATAGTTCCATCTCTTTTTCTTTCTCTTCATTTTGTTCAAAGAGAAGAGATTTCTCTGATTTGAGCTTCTCCATCTCAGTTTTGAGTGATTGCATTTCCTCTAAGGAGTTTCTTTGCCTTGCTTCCTCGGACATCTTGTATTTCTGAAGCTCTCTCTTCTTGTCTTGGAGTTCCAACAGTAGCTTATCTGCCTCTTTTGATTTAAAATCTATTAGGCCAACTAGTTGCTTGAATTTCATGCGGTATTGATCCTGAACTAGTGCCAAATCTTCATGGGCTTTCTTCAAAAGTTCTTCCAGGTTGCTTTTTTGTGAATGCAAATCAGCAGCTTCTTTTAGTGTTTGCTTGACGATATTCTCATTCGTTTGAAATGTAGATGACATATGTGCAGAAAGACTTCTAAATTCCTCTTGAAGCCTCTCAACAGTGATAGAATTGTTCCATTTTGTTTTTCTCAATTCCTCTTCTGCTATTATGGCCCTTTTCTCTTGCTCCACTTTAGCATTTGTGATGGTTGCTATATCTTCTTCAAATGCTTCGGTCTGTTTCTGAAGTTCTTTCTCCAAGCATTCAGCATGAGATTCAAGGTCACTGATTATGGATAAATGTGCCGAACACTCATACTGCATCCTGAGTTGTTCTCGTAGTTGCATTTGTTCCAGCTTTGTGGTGATATCATGGTTTTCCTGTTTCAAAATTTCATAATCCAAGGCAAGCTGCTCCATTTGCATTTCAAGATCTTCTCGGTCTTTCCTGTAAAATTCTACTTCATTGTTAAGATCAATTATCTTGTTCTCAAGCGGGTAAGTCATCTTCATATCATCACGTTCATTGAGAAGTGCATCCAATGCATATTGCTCTTCGGTGTCATTTTGAGAAATTGTTTCGAGTAACTGCTGTTTACTTTCAGGTTTCTGTAGATGTGGAATTCCATCTCCCAATTTCAGTTCCTCTAGTTCCTTGTCAGTTTCTGTTTCGATGTCCATTTTGTTACATTTCATACAAAGTGTCTCCCTATTTCTTTGTTCCAACAGTCCATCAAGATCTTTCACAGCAAGTAACAGCTCAGCATTAGCTTCTTGTGTCATTTTTAGTTGCAAGCGAAGATGTACATTCAGATTTTTCTCATGATCTAGCTCTTGCTTAATTTCTTCAAGTAAAGAAAGATGATCTTCTGCATCATGCTGTGAGAGAGTAGATAGAGTTCTATCAACTTTTGTTTTCTTTTCTGAGAACTTGAGCTCATCACATTCCTCTTTAAGTGCATCTCTCTCGTCCTTTAGGCTATTTAATTCCCTTGAAATTTCTTGTCCTCGCTTATTCTCTTTGATGATTTGCTTTCGGAGAGTCTGCAGCTCCAGATCTGATAATTCCAACTTTCTGGTCAAAATAACAATATCATTTCTTAATTTCTCAATGCTGTCCTCTGAATCATGAGATGTTTCATTTAACCCAGCATCACCCAGACTGGCTGTTGAAGCATCTGCACTTCCATCAGGGGCTGAATTGCCAGACCAGTCACCTGAACTGGACATCGGCTTTTTAGGAGTATCACCGTTGGTAAGCGATGACAGGAAGCTAGTAGGATGATTACGGGTATTGTTATGCTTGATGCTGTTCTCTCTCGGTGTATATATTCCTGAACTGGTGTCCGAACCTGATGCTGATATAGCATCAAAGCTGTGACATTTTTGGAGGTTTCCATTGGAATCAGCAGTATGGACAAGAATTTCCCTGCTCGACGAGAATTTGACTTGTGCCTGACTGTTAATATGTGAACCATCAACCTGTCGAAATGTATTAGTGAATATCATTGTTACTCATAGGTAATCCAGAAGTACTATGGAACATGTGCACTTATAAAGCATTCTCTTGGACTTTAACTCTCCAACAAATTTCCTACTAATTGCTTGAAATATATTCCAAAACAAGCATATCGATTACAAGAAATTCATCTCAATACCATGCACATTAAACTAATTCTTTTGGCTCCTTATAAAGCATGAAGTTCCACCGGTCTGTCAGATAGATAGTGATAAAGAAATGAAACAGGTATTAAGCATTCCACTAAAGTCCAAACATGTGACAATAGACAGCTTAGCTTTCGGGTACTCCTTCCACAATCATGTTTTGCATATTTGAATGATGCATATACGGCAAAGTTGTTTCATCAAGGGATTCTTTTAATCGGCAAGCTTTTACTAACCTGGTGATGTATGGCTATATTATTTTTGTAAATGTTGCCCTACACTTACAATGTTGATGCCATTCACACCATTGGGAGCTTTGATGCTTTCCTCATTGTCGAACTTGCTTAACTGACTTTGTAATGTTCTTCTTTGCCGCTTAACTATCGTTTCTCCATCTTGATCACCTTCTCTGAGGAAATATTCACAGATAGAACTGAATGATCAGCAAATCCACAGTCAAACCATAAAATGTATTTCCCTAAGGATACTAGTCTCTGTTTGTAGTCTACCTTCCATCACCATCACCATCACCCTTCACTTTTTGAATGGTAATCTGTCATTTCAAACAAAAACAAGAATAATAAGGAAATATTCAGTCAAAATCCAAGTACTTGTGTGACCCTTGGATCACATGAAGTGCCTGATCCATTCACCCCACTTATTTTTTCTTTGTTTGGGCAACCCTGAGAGGTTCAAAGAAAGAACAATGGCAAGAATTATATTTTGGCAAGCATGTCAGTGTGGTCTATTCTTTATTTCTTCTTGACTGAGAAACTTGTGATTTCTATTAATCTGCAGTGTCAGATGATGCATGAGATCAATGGTTATCAATTCAGAAGGTGGTGATGCTCACATGCAAGATGGCTCCTGTATTTGATGCTTTGAGAGGAAGAGAAACAGAGGATGCCTTGAAGACCTCAGCATAATCCGCCAGGTTAACAGCAACCTCCCCCAAAACCTCAGCTTTGCTCGATCCCTGCGATCCTTTCGACGAATCAGTCATAATTGCTTGCACACAGCACACTATAAAGCACATCCGAAAGCGATTCAAGAATCTCTCATACAGCAGCTGAGAGGAGAAATCTGTAGACTTTGTCATCCATCTTGCCAGTCTTCGGATTGCGGACGAGCTTCACTGTCTCGTACACTGGATTCGCCCAGTTGCAGGTGCCGTCCACCGCCGCGACCTTCTCTGATCTCGTCGTCGGCTTGGCGACGTCCGCCGGGACCAGGCTGACCATCATCGCCTCCGACGCTAACAGCGGCACCTACCAGAATTCAACCACCCCAAAGGCATAATCTATCTACAGATCTCTGTAACATTTGTCGGTCGGAGTGAGAGAGTAAGATGAGCTGACAGATATGTGACACCAAACCGACCTGCGTCGCATGGAACTGCAACTTGAAGACGGCTTTGCTCCTGTTCTTCTCGCTCCTCCATCGCGCCGCCTTGAACATCTTCGACCTCTGCTTCAATTCTTCATCCTTAGGCCGCGGAATGCAGGGTGGTCACCTGCACCAACCGCACAGGAACCAGCACTTATTGTCAACACACTCTCTATGCACTCACAGCAGCAAAGAGAGTACTGCAAATGGGTGGGTTGGTGGATTTGAGATGCCGAGGCTCACCCCTAGGGAATACGATGGTTGAGGTGAAGAAGAGAGCAGGAAGACAACAAGAGAGCAGATCTACCAACTGAGCTATTTGTTTCCACACACGCACGCACTCTCTCTCCCTCTCTCTCCCTCTCTCTTCTCTGTAACAGTTGGTCTTTGCGGGAATAAAATAATACACAAATGAGAAGCTTCTGCGCAATAAAAAAACATGAAGGTTTTGAAAAAAGGTGGAGTTGATCTGTTGATGTGAAAAAAGTAAAAACATATGTGGGGGGATTGCTTGAGAGTTGGGACTCCTACAACAAAGAGGAGGAGATAGATTTAGTGAGTGAGAGAGAGAGAGAGAGAGACAGAGGTTGGTTTGACAATTGGTGCACATTTATGGGCAACGTGATGTTGGCCTTTTGGGCATGTGTGGGGAGGAAGTCTTTAGGGCAGTAGGAGGAGGATTAAATGGATTCCATGTTAGATCGATCAGACCAGAAAGGATGAGATTGCATTAGCCACCCATTAAATATTCCAAAGATTTAGTGTGAAAGATTCATTTCTTGAGCTCATGAGCTTATGTTGTCTGTAAAACTTCATGGTTTCTGTGTCCTACTTATTTCCCAGAAGAAGATTGATGTTAGTTTCTGAGTCAGAATCTATGAAGAGTAGTAGTATTTTAGGAACACATAATGTTTGGATTAGATTGATGCAAATCTCAAGAAGCGTGCAGCACCAAAGTGGCATCATCTCCATTGCACTGCATGCTCCCACAGTCACGTGTCTCTTCCTCCCTTGCAGCAGATAAAAGGCCACTGCCACTGTCACCCAATATTGCCTGTGGAAGCACAAAGTGGACTTGGTAGGACTGTTCATGTTCCCCACTAAAAGGCCTCTGCATGTTGCATCTCTGGAACAAGGTCCTCTCCCGACATAACACATGTTTGGACCAATAAATCCAGACCCCCATGGCAGCATCTTCACCTCACAGAAAACAATGCAGGGTCACTGGAAGGCAAGCGTCTCTTTTACCCACCCTAATCTACTGCACTCCATGGTCCCTGAAGATGTCACACTTGGGTTCCATGAGTTTGAGGCCAAGGAATCAGAGTGCTGGGGTAGCTAGATCTGATTCGGATTCCCTTCATTTCTTTCTCTTTGTTTGTATCGCAATGCTCCCCATCTTCTTGTTCTCATGCTCTCTGCACTTTGCCCTACCCTGGTGGAAGGATTGAAGAAGCTTGGGCAGACATTAATGGGTTGCGGAAGGACAAGGATGGAGGTTGAGTGATCACCTCCATTGAAGTCCATAAATAGCATGAAATATTTCTTGGGGGTTGGAGGAATTCATTAAGGCTACAACTCAGCAGCCTAATGGTCTGTGTTCTGTGTTTCGAGTGTGCTGTCGCATGTCTTCGCCATACATGTATATATTCTCCAACTATCATTTTGCCTATTGTGAGAAAAGGACTTTGCACCTAAAAGTTCCCTTTTTAATCTCATATATTCTCCACAAAGTTGTTCAATCATTGAGATCTTTTATCTCTTTTTTTTCTTGTTCATCCTCAATGACCTCAGCATCCATTCTGCAAGAGCTCAAGGTACTCAGTGGTTATCTTGACAAACACTGAAAAGAGGAAACAAATGCCATCATGGCTTCAACCCAACAACTACTTCAAACTTATCTTTGAGTACCTCTTCTTCTTCTTCTTGATGACTGTGAGAACTGCACTTGAATCGTGGTGAGAGTTTACTTTCATCACATTGGTTGTGCAGCATTTATGAGTCCACCTGGTGGGTGGCTTTGGATCTGACACAGGAAGCCAAAGGCTTGTGAACTTTTTATGGTGATCAGATATCAGACATCTAATTAATGGTACTACCAAGGCATGAACAGTTATGCCTTGAGTGATGTGTGTAGGACCTGCCCACAAGGTCTTTATTTCACCCACAGTTTTTGATTGCTTGGATCATTGACCTTTGGATTGAAGAAGAGAGCATAGCTCCAAAGATCATAAGTGAATTTAATGATTAATATAACTTAATCTAATAATAATATATTATTTTTAGATTGATTACATGAATTTTCGATCATCGATATATCGAGCTTAAAACTCTTGAAAGATTATAAAATCTTATTTATTTTTTATGATATAAAAATTTAACAGTCTCTATTTCCATCCCATGAACATTAATGTGTATCATAACCATAGTTAACATTATCCTGGTTTTCTCCCATCAAAAAAAGGTTTTCTATGAAAAAAATGAAAGCATATGCAAGGAAGATGTGACATGATTTGGGATTAGTTGACAACTTTTGAAAGTGGGTGCCTAATTCCAAATCATGATTTGGTAGGTAAGAGAGGGATCTCCCATAGAACATAAGGTAGTGTTAAGTTAAATCAATCTACCAAACCTAGTACAAAAAGATTGTGATGTGTGCTTCCTCCATTTCCCTTTAAGAACTCTATAACAAAATTATTAGGAAAGTAAAGGAGAAATAGAAGGCTAATCAATCAAGCAAATGTTAGGACTTCAACTGAGGTTGAGGTTGGTTGATATGGATATGTAGGACTCATCATAACTCCACAAGGTAGACCAAGTAGATTTCTTTGTTGATAAAGGCCAAGTAGTTTTCTAAGTTGGGTAGGTGATGACAAGCAGTATTCTCCTCTTAGGTCATTCCTTGGCATAAGATCTCTGATTTCTATCCTTATTCTAGCTTGCTTCTCTGAACAAGAGAGACATGATGCCAAACACAATCTTTGAATTATAACATGGTTGCATTTGTTTGCCACTACAACAACATGGTCATAATTGTTTGTGCCTCCCATGCACTACACTACACTACACTACACCACATGTTATTATCCAAATAGTAGAAAGTATGCACTGATCTTGATGGAATTATTAAGGACTTTGGTAAGGCAGCCTGACCTTGTGGTCATAACATGGTTCATGACTGCACATGCAATGACCAACTTGGCCAATAAGTTAAAGAAGACACTTGAATCATGAGCACATTTGTTTATGCCAAGGAAGAATAGGAAATGTGTCAGGCTGGTGACTAAGCTAGAGTGGAAATCTTTTGTGGTGCAGGCTGTGGGAATATTTTACAGCAAAAAAATCAAAGAAATCAGAATAAGGTTCACCTGAATTAAGCTGCATAATGTTCTAACTCAGTGGGTTTTGTTGTGTTGTAGCCATTTTCTATTAATGACAAAGTATACCATATTGTACTAATCTATTAGCTAGTCATGAGAATGCATTTGAAGTGTTTATTTAATCCAACATGAAATTTGAAAAATCCATGATCAGTTGTTCAAAATAAACTCAAGTAAGCCATGCAAAATCCAAATATCAACATACATTATTTCACTCTAAGTAGGTGTCAAGTGTTTTGACATTAGAAGAGCCTCAATCACAAAGAGACAACACAAGAAATCATCAATCAACAATATTTATTTTATTTTATTGGGAAGAAGAATGTTATTAATTGAATAAGAAGACTAATGAGGTCAATCATTTAATTGTTCTTGTCCACCTACTGACAACTAACTAGTTGTCATAATTTTTTGAATAATTTCAAGTACTAACTAGTACTCCTAATCTTGTTTTATACATATTGGTCATTGTGATAGACTCTTTTAGCATTGGAATAATTTATCAGTGCATTGGTTTTTTTGGCACTTCCTCTAATTCATAATAAAGAATGGTTAGGATGCATTAATTCCTCCAACCTTCTACTTCATGAGATCTTAGGAAAAATTGCTGGATTTTATTACATCCATATTCTATGCATGATTTATAACACAAGGAAAAAGGTGTGCAACAAAAAATTTAATATATATATATATATATATATGTATATGTATATATATATATATATATATGTATATATATATATGTATATATATATATATATGTATATATATATATATATATGTATATATATATATATATGTATATATATATAGCAGACAAACTTTATACCAAAAAATTAATTTATATATTTTTTTGTTGGAAAACTTCCTTGTTTGTGAAATTTGATAAGAACATGCTGTTGCTGCCATCAGAAACCTCTTTGTTCTATAGACTTGTATTATATTGAATTATGAACTTGTGGAGGCCTTTACAGTTCAGATACTGATTTGATTATGCAATGCAAAATTGGAAAGAAGAGTAAAGCAGCAACCAAAGAGATAAAGTTAGAAATGAATGCCAATCATACATGCACTTGTTTTTATTAGGGAATAATTCCAACAAATCCCTGTAGCTTGATTAATTAAGTGGTCAATAACCCCAATTTTTTTAAGGGCATTTGAATCAAAAGAGAAAAAAATTTGAACACCTCACTTCTAATATTTTAAAGTGACTCTTCAATGGATGCTTGACTTGACTGCTATGGTTACTTTTTTTTTCCCAATCTTTTTGTTTATAAACTGATAAAATTATTATTATTATTTTACTTCTCTTACTCTTTCTCACCATATTTTATATATTGCATTAGTAAATATAAAATAAGTATTTTATATAGCAAGAATTTTTATCTTGATTTTTTTAGTTTTTATAACATATTATATACCAATTTATATCATATGTTGTTTTTAGAAAAAAAATATTATATCAAATAACTTATATGGTGCTCATATGATCCAAATATGAAACTTATCACTTATATAATATTATACTAATCAGATATCTCAACAAAAATATGTCATGTTAATATTGATGATTATGTATATAAAAATGATAGTAACTCACAAATCAATTAAGAGGAAACAACATTAATGAGAATTTTAGATAATTCTAAATTCAATGAGCATGCTTCAGAATTTAATATAATTGTTTTTAGTGGCAGAAGGTAATTCTTACTTATCTTATTTATGTACCATGGGATCCTCAGCCAATCTACTTACAATTTATTTATATTTTTTGTGGTTATGCAATCAAATTGGATGCACTATATATATATATATAT